TTTGTGTATGGTCTCTCTCTCTCTCTATATATATATATATATCATACTAAACTGTCACCAATTATATAATTTTATCATAAACTATTTTGAGCTGATGTGTTTATAGTAAATTCAACGCAAGACGTGACGCATATATTATTATCTTATTGTTATTTATGTGAAAAATATGTTGATTTAAAGAATAGTCTGAGAATAAATAGAGAGTTGACCCATGCATGCTTGTTAGGAAAGACGTAGCAAAACTTCGCAACTTTTTCCTACTTTTTGGTCCAAAATGAAGGTTTTAGGGATGAAGGGATATGAAAAGTATTTAAGTTGGTTTTAGAAGGTAAATATTTGAAATCAAATTTGGACACATTGCAATAAAAAAATAAAAATTATATCACAACAAATTTGTTCTTCTCCATTAGATTAGAAGTTTGTTCCAAGTCAAACATACCAATTATATAGTACTAAACCATGATAATAAAAAAACTATTTATTATTAATTGAGAGCAATATTTGTACGACATTAAATAATTTATCGAACTTAATATCAAAATTTATTTGAATTCTCTATTTTTTATCCTTTGTCATTTACTTATTTATAAGAAGATTTGTATCTAAACATTTCAATTGTAGAAATACAAGAAATATTCTATAATTGAAATGTTTGGTGGTATTAATTTTAAACTAATGGAATTGTATTCTCAATTGAGTCGATTCAAAGTTGCAACACTATTATTTTGACACTCAAAATGGTATTACAATAAATTGGAAAAAAAATTTATTTATTTCTTACACTGCACATTTACCCTTTATTTATTTCTTACACTGCACATTTACCCTTTATTTATTATTATTTTTTCAACAACATCAATCCAAACAGGCGCACAACAAAGAAGATGTTTGTATAAGCAGTCTCCTGTACCCAAATCTCCGCCATAGATTCTTGGGATCTCTGGATTTCACATTTATAACCTATATATATTCGATTTCCGATAATCTATAAATTGCCCACATAATAAATTATAAAAAGATAAACAAGTAGAGAAGTGTGGCATTTTTGGGGTTCTCTTCCACACGGGTTTGGTTGAATCGGTGATATATCTCTCTATATAAGCAATTGAAACCCTGTAAGTTCAGGTTTGATCAATCGTGTTCGTGTCGGCGATGACAAAGCGCAAGGAACCATGTTACAGAGACAATCGCGGAATCTGAGGCACGTAACTTTGTTGCCCTAATTGATACTATTCGATTACTGTTTTCTAATTTGTTTTAATTGAATATTATTTGTTTTTATATCGATCAGACAGTGGTTCTGATTTGAAGTTTTGTTTTGTTTTTTTGAAATCGCGAGTGGATTGATATCTGTCTGTAGAAGATTTTGATATTGCTTTGATCCTGTTGGTGGATGTGGTAGTTCAGTTATTTAATGGAGTTTAGAGATCTTGGTTTATGAAGAATCCACTTATGCTCACCGTGGAGCAGCCAATTTGAATTTCTGTACACGCACACACACACACATGTAGCATTTCTTTAGACTGACATACTTTTGTATGTTAAATATGGTTCTCTGCCAATTCGTTCTAAGCATTCTCAATGCTTTTGGACATCATAATTCATGTTGTATTCTGTGTGTTTTTAGATTACCCAGTCTTGAGAGGAAGCTGCCAGATGCAGGGGGCACTAGATAATGTAGAATATGAAATTCAGATGAATAGGATGAGATAACTGGGAATTACTTGCTAAAAACACATATTTGGACTTGCTTTTTATCGGCATTAGTTTTATCTTTGAGCTTGTTTTTTTTATAAAAAAAATTATTTGACAATTTATGCTATTTATATCATCTCTTTTAATGCTTTGGTATGCAATTGCAACATTAAATCTAGAGAGCTCTTGTTTGTACTTTGAATGTTGATAACCATGTTTGTAACTATAGTATTGCTTTTATGATATTAAAAAGGTATCTTATGTTGCATGACTTGAGGATGTGTGTTGGCTTCAGGTATGTCTCGAAGTGTTAGATTTATAAATTCTCAAACCAAAGACAAGGAATACGATTAAATTTTCAATTTGTTGACATTCCTTTATTTTTTAGGGTAAAATTGGTTTTTTATGTAACATAGAGTGGTTATCTTGGAACTTCACTTGTTGAATTAATAATATACAAATTTAAGTATTTTGTTAGATAAGAAAAACTCACTTATACTTGCGATGAAATGAAGTTTGTTAGATATCAACCTAAGTGTTTTGTGATGGTCCTGCCCTCTGTCTCCTTGTTGCTGCTCTTCCTCTCCTGCGTGTTGCTGTTTCCCTTGCTATTGGAGCCCCTTGACACCCCTTTTTATTGTGTCCAATACCCTTGCTCACAATGCACCTAACAATACAAGAATTATTTCCAGGTTCTGGTTCATCAGCCTTCTCCCCTTTACACTCTAGGTCTGCCCACTAGCTTTTTTGGTATTGGGGTAGCAATTACCTTTCTGTACTTGAGGCCATTTACTCTTATGCTGCATGGATGCATAAGATGTCTATAGGACTTGACGTTAACATTTTTACTGAAGAAATTATCACAAAAGTCCTCAATGTGAAGCCTATTATACTAGATGCATGCTGCTTCATGCTTATATGATAGTCCTGTAATCTGCCTCTCCCTGCAATAACATGTCCTCAACTGAAGGTTCACCATAAATGTAATATGTAGTCCATCCACGACTTCATACACATTTCCCCAGGTCATACAAGTGTGCATGAAGTAGACGCTGAGATGATAGTGTTCAACCTTTTCCTGATTTTTGGGATTGTTTTACCGTCCCCAACCAGTTGATTTTTGAATCATCTCATGAAACTTGGACATGAATCAATACAACTATAATAGATTTTGTCCTCACATTCCCAGGCAATAAATCGAAAGACCCTACAACATTATTTGTGTCAAAATCACACTTCACACTCTCTTTTAACTTTTTCCCCACTCTTATCTTGCAACTCACTCCATCAAGGAATAGGCTTTCATGGATTTTCCAATTGCGGACTGGATTGCCACAGTGAGCAATAAGTCTCACCTTCTCATTCTTGCCCCCCACAAGTATGAAACCCTGTTGGACTGGACATTCCTAAATTTAATCCTAAAAAGTTTAGTCAACAAATCCATCCCAAGCTCAATCTTACCCCCTTCCCTATACCTGAATGCACTTCCCTTTGTGGCTTTGTGCCAGAATTGTTGCCATACAGTTCACCATTGTCAGTATAATCAGACAAGGCACCGTCATTGTTTTGTGGAGTCTCAACTTCCAACTCAATGTTTGATGCTCTGTCCTCTCGCTCATCCTCACTCCCACCCTTTCATTCCTCTCATCACAATCAGAGAAGCTAAATTGGATTTTCTCATTTCCCTTAACTTCTCGTACAACATCCTCAACATCACTATTATTACTGCCGAGGTCAATTGTCTTTGTCTTTGTTCCAGGCTCTGTAACCCCAGCCATAGTACTAGATGATACACCACCATGAGAAGAAGCTAAAATTAGTTGAGCAATCTCTGCATATTGATCTATGTACCTATTCTCTGAATTTATTTGAAATATTATCATGGTCCCCACCTTTCAACATTCTCTCACTACTTTTGTGAATGTTTTAGAACTAATTCACACTTATACCTACCAAGTTGTGAAATCATTATTAACTGTATGTTTCTGGATCTATATTTCTTTATTCATATCTGTTGCCTCTAAAATAAACCCCCAAATCATGTACTTTTTTCAGAGGCCATTTGACACTGAAAAAGAGCAGTGGCAAAGACATGTGGACACTTATAATATACTTCTGCAAGCCCTAATTAAAGAATATGCTATGTATATCAGAGTGGGATCTATGCCCGTCATGTGATATACATGTCATATAATAAATAAATAAAAATATACACACACATTTGATAATTGGACAATTACAAACATGGGAGATACAAATATGAAGATAGAAACATAATTGATAATTGACAATTACAGCATAAATAGTAATTCCAAACATGAATATAATGACAAGCCCCATAACTAATACAAACACGAACTTACAAACTTGATTCAATTGTAACACACTGAAACTTTAAAAACCATTACAAATATCACAAATCAACAAGATTCGTTCGATCGTAACATATTGAAGACATGAAAAAACAGAAAATATCATTATAAAAAATTGAAAAACATTAACATCTATCACAAATCAGATTGTAAACAGATAATACATGGGTGAAATCGTAAAACAAGTAACACACGGGTGAAGATCACAAACCCTAACAGAGATCAATAAAGGAAAGAAGTAATCAATGGGCCAAATTTCAACCTAACCTGGGATTAGAATAGATTCAAACAAGTATTGAACTCACATGCAACAAATTCATTGTGCACATGCACATTCTCAGTAAAGGGTATGGGGAGATGGTTTCTGGTAACAATTAGGTTTTGGTGGGTAATGGTGGGGGAGAGAGATGGTCGTTTGGAGAGAGAGTGTGTGTGTGTTGGGGGGGGGGGGGGGGGTGGTCAGTAAATGGTGTGGGGATATGTGATGTAATGATTACTGGTGCATTTAGGTCAATTGACATGCCAGATATTTTTGAATAAAAAATACCTTAAAAAGTGAGGTCAAAATTGACACTTCACAACTTAACGGCATTAGCAGATGGGGTGTTTGTGTAGGTTTGCCCTATCCACATGTAATAAAATGAAACCGCACGGGGTGCCAGTGTAATTAACCCTTTTTTGAGTATAGAGGAAGCATTAAGCTGTATAAGCAACTTCGATTGTTATTGTTATTTGCTCGTTTACATTGAGCATCAAGGTGATCGTCATAATCATATCTTGGATTTATTCTTTCCCATTCTCCTTTTAGAGTGTCAAAATGTCACCATTAACTGAACCTTGTTTGGTAGGAAATACTAATATGCTATTGACAAGGCAACAAATTCTCATTTTATTGAATCATCTTTGCTTATTCTTTTTTCTTTTTCCAGGTATCATATCAAGATGAGAAAGGATCTGGTAGGCGTTCCAGGAGTCGAGAAGTTGATATGAGGGTAGAGTCTGGGATGTGTAATGTGTGCTCCGCTCCTTGATCATCTTGTTTGCATATTAACTGAGCCGTCATGGGGTCAAAGACAGACAAATGTTCTGGTGAAACTTGTCAAGAAAAAGTTTTGAGTCAGTATTCTGTTAATGATGCTAAGAGCAGTGCACGTGACAATGGACAGCATAGTGCCAGTGAAAGAAGTAACTTATTCAGTGTCAATTCAATTCATGATTCTTTCTCTGAAAATGCAGAAACTAAAGTAGGCTCGAGGACTTCTGATGTATCTAGTGCATCTGAAGATGTTGAGATGCTTCCAAAGTTTAGGGACCCAAAAAATTTAGATGGTCATGATGATAACATTTCATGTATCAGTGGAGCTAATGATGTAAACAAATTGGCCAATCATCTTAATGGGAATGTAGACAGAAAAAATATACCATGTAGTTCTGCGTCTAATAGCGGTTTAGTTCTAGAAGGATGTGGAACGACACTTCCAACTGATACAGGCTGCCTGGATATTAATTGTGATGCTAAAGGAAGTTACAGTAACTCGAGAAGGCAGAGCAGATATAATGATGATTTGACTTTGGAAGTGCCCCCAACTGTTTTATCAACTGAATTATCTTCCCCCGTGTTAGATGTGATGGAGACTCCTTCCTCAAAAGGTGTGGATGATGGCACTAGCTCACCAAAGGTACAGAGGACCTACTCTCATCCTCCCAGTGACAAATCTCTTTCCTGCAACCCATGTGTGAAGGACTTGGAGGAGGATTCGTGTTCTCATCTCCAGGGAGAACTGCCTGAATGCTCAAAGGAACATTTGAATCCATTATTCACAAAAGAGGCAGCATCTGGCATTGTTTGTAGACAGAAATCTGCATCATATAAATGTTGTGATATTAGTCTTGTTGGAGTTAATTTTGAGGCTTCAGAGAAAATTTCTTTAAATTTAGGAACAGAAAACAACAATGGTAGTGGTAATCTGCCTGCTGAAGCTTTGAACATCCCTAAACAAATCGAAGAAGTTGAAAAGATCAAGGAGTCCCTTGTGTTACCTGATGCGCAGGAAACTTCTTTGCAATCCCATCCCATGGATGAGACTGATGAATCTGATATTGTGGAACATGATGTAAGTATGGATGATTTTGTTGTTTATGTTGGTATTTTCTTTGACTACCTAACTCGGGGCCCTTACTCCTATGTCCTAAGTAGCTCTAGCACAGGCAAGGATACGAGAGACAGCCACGATATGACGTGAATACATCGACATATAAAATTTTTAAAAAGTAGGATATTGACATGGCGTAGATATGGCGATATATAAATATTAAGTTCTGTTTAATTACATCTATTGTGCAAGACAATTATAGAATGTTTAATAAGTTACATAATTTAGAAAATTAAGTTATGACGATATCTTAATGGTTATCATATTATAAATGCTACCATTCTCCTACATTGTCATTACAAATATATTTATGTCTAATAAGATTGTCGTGACCATGTGTACAATTGTGTCTTGGAAGAAAAGGCTAGATACTTCGACGTGTGTTCATATTGTTGCCATGATTGTCACACTGGCTACTCTTAGATGTATTTTCTTATATAAGACTTTTGTTGGAGAGTGTCTGGGATGTGCTGGCCAGATGTCCAGGATGAATTGGCTAAGTACCTGACATAATTGAAATTGAAATTGAAATTGAAATTATGGATATGTCCATTAACTGATGGACCTGTGACCAGGATTGTCTGTGAACAGTGAAGTGTTGGTGTGTAGCATGTGTTTTGGCATGGACAGAGCACCTTCTTAGAAGTGTTTGTCTTTCTTCTGTCCTTACTCTATATTTTTGTTTAGTTATCTATTTGTAGTGCGGAAATGGTATTCTCCTTCCACTTTTGTACTCTTGCACCTTGTTTGCTTTTTAAAAAAAGGAAATGACACAATTGTCCTTCAAAAGGGCTCTCACACTTCATAAATATTTTAAAAAGTATTCTTACTCTCTGCTTCTAGGGTCGTTATGCTATTTTTTAAATAAAAAATCAAGTGGTTCATGAATGTCATATCCCTCTGTTGTTCTTTATGTTATGTAATTTTCCTTATTCTTGTTTAATGGTTTTTTGAGATGCCCTTAACGTTTTTCTGGTCAATGTCTCCATAAATTTCTTATTCTAGTTGTAACATGTCTGTTTCGCTTAATATAGTAATATTCATTGCAGTTGGAGATATCTACCCTGCCATAAGTTGGGATTTAGTTTTTTTTTTTTCGGTTGTTGTTGGTGCACCTATGTTTTCTAAAAGTTTAAATTGCATGTGAAGGATGTGCAGGGATATACAACACATGTTATGTTGTGGTTTCTGGAATGTTTAACTTTGAATACATGGGAAAAACTGGCTTTTCCATTATGATGTTGTTTATCTGTTTTTTTAGTGCTGCTTTTAAATGCTTCAGCGCACTTTCCAGGCACGCCCTATATATGTAACTATATATCTATATATTTTATGGTTATTAGAATATAATTGTTCTTTCCACTCTCTGGAAACAGGTAAAAGTTTGCGATATTTGTGGTGATGCAGGCCGGGAGGATTTACTTGCTATATGTAGTAGGTGTAGTGATGGTGCGGAACACACGTAAGTCTACAGAGTTATGTTTAGTATTTCCCTATTGTTAGGCTTTATTAGCCATGTTTTTTTATGTAAATATATATTCTTCTATGTTCAATATAATTCTTAATATTTTTATTGCTGTCACCCAGCTATTGCATGCGGGATACGCTGGATAAAGTTCCAGAAGGTGATTGGCTGTGTGAAGAATGCAAATTTGAAGAGGAAATGAAGTACCAGAAGCAAGATAGATCTGATGCAGTTGATGGAAGTGGAAAGAATCAATCTTCTGGAGAAGCAAGTGCTGTGAATACTAATCTCTTTATGAAGTTGGACACACAAAATTCTGATTTGGAGGGAAACAGAATTAGTCAAGATATTTCAAGTGCGAAAGCCTCTGGCAAACGACATGCAGAAAACATAGAAGTTACTTCAGAGGCAAAAAGACAAGCCACTGAACCATTTATGGGATCACCAAAGACATCCAGTCCCAGCAGACTAGCTGCAATTTCTCGTGATTGTTCATCCAATAACTTAAGTAAAGGGAAGGTGAAGCCAGTCCATCAATCATCTTTTGGCTCTTCCTTGGTTAATGAAACTCCGGAAATTGCTCGCTCTCATACTACAGGTCCGCTACTGCAAACACCTCGTGGTAATTTTTTTTATTATTTATATTTAATGCTCTTGTTTACAATTTATTTTTTCATTAGTTGACTTGCTTATTATGATGTCTTGATTCCACGGTTTAATCATTCTAAACAGTAAATCCTGATTCTTTTGCAGGTATTTTAATAAAGTCTAATTCATTCAATTCCTCAAATGCAAAACCAAAAGTTAAACTTGTTGATGAGGTTGTTCTTCAAAAGCAGAAATCCAATACAAAAGAGGGGAGTGCTAGATTGATAGGAAAATCTATGTCCTTCAAATCTGCAAACTCAGGCCGTTTAAATGCTTCTGAATCAAAAAATAAAATTATGTCCCCTAAATTTTCTCATGGCCAGGATCTAAGAGGTTTTAAACAAGGTAAAGAGCGAAACTTATTTGAAAGAAAGAATTCTTTTAGATCAGAAAGCCTACCAGTCAATTTGGCAATGGCCAGTTCTACTGTCTCTACCGTGAAAGTTGATAAAACACTAGCATCCTGCGGTGAAACTCATTCACTTTCTTTTGTGAACAACAACCATGAACGGAAGCCTGCACAATCCGACAGTAAATTAACCCGTCCTGTAGCTCGTGGAGGTCCTGAAATGCCAGTTCCTTTAGGTATGATTTTACCTTCTGATTTGGGGTATGCGACGTTTTTATATATGTATGCATATATTTTTGTAGTCTTTTTCGTCTTTTATACTGTTTGTTTAGTTTCTTTTGCTGTCCATCTGGATCAGGTGAAATTAAGAGGCAGTCTTCCTGCTTAACCAATGGGGGAGTTTCATTGACCAATGGAACTAGCAATATTGTAGAACATAAGCCAAACCAGACTAGCCATAAGGATAATCCCTTGCCAAGTACTTCTCTTACCGCTGAGAGATCATTTTGTAATGTTAATGAAAGTGCTGCTGCATCAGAAAGTCTACCAGAGGGGTTACCTCAGTCCAAAGAATCAACAAGTTCTAGTGATAAAATCATAGAAAATTCTCGTAATCGCTCGAAGCAAAATATTACAGCTGGTGGGAAAAGTGTGCCCTGTCAGAAATGTAAAGAAGTTGGTCACGCTGCACAATTTTGCACAGTTGACAGTCCTCGGCCACTTGCTGTTGATGCATTTGCTGCAAGAAGTTCAAGAGAGGTGATGAATGGAGGTAATAAATTAAAGGCTGCAATTCAGGCGGCTATAGATAAAAAGCCTGGCATATACAGAAAGAACAAAGATCCTGACCAATCTGATGAGTTACCCAGGTCATCCGTGAATTTGAATTGTGAAGTACCTTCTCGAGATCAATTTTCAATTTCATGTAACATGATGAACAAGTCTTCTCTTGACGAGATATATGAAGGGCAGGCAATACCACAGAATTCTTCCACGGACTCCTGTAAACATACTACTGTTAACAATGTGAAACAGTTATCCACGCTTCCTATTAATTCCAAAACAGAATATGCTAGTGATAGGAAGTCTTCCATAACAGACTTGTCATGTCACACTTCAGCAGCACTATCCGTTCTTTCGAAGATGTCAGCTATTCCAGAGCATGAATATATATGGCTGTATGATTCTTTTCCTTTGCAAACTCAAATTCTTCTTTCATTAGGAGGTTTTACAGTTTCCTTTCCTTTTGATTTGGTTGGCCTCACCTGTGGAAATACTTTGCATCTGTAAGACTGGCCTTTTATGAGTTTTTGTCCTCTTCATGCAGAGGGGGTTTTGAGGTTCACAAAAGTGGGAATCTGCTGGAGTTATGTGATGGAATTCAAGCACATTTATCAACTTGTGCATCACCTAAAGTTCTTGAAGTGGTGAAAAAGTTACCCAGCAAAGTTCTCTTGAACGAAGTACCTCGATTGAGTACGTGGCCAATTTTGTTTCAGGAAAAAGGTGTTAAAGAAGATAACATTGGACTCTATTTTTTCGCTAAAGATATGGGGAGGTAATGATTCAAATAGAAATTGTGCTCTCTAATCCATATATTTATTTATTTTAACGTTATGTTATTTTATTTTGTTGCTTATATAACAGTTACGAGAAGAGTTACAAGAGATTACTGGAAAGCATGATGAAAAATGATCTGGCTCTCAAAGGAAACCTTGATGGCGTTGAGCTTTTGATATTCCCATCCAACGTGCTTCCTGAGAATTTCCAGCGTAAGATACTAAGAATTAATTTAAAAGTTTTCTCTTGTATCTGCATTAACTTGTCGTAACAACAGATTTAAGGTTATGGTACTCATGCCTGAGGCTCACTCGGGTGAGGCTCCTGTAGAACTCCAGCTGTGAGGCATTTTTTCTTAAGGATTGCAGTCGAAAGTATGCACAATCATGTAGAACATGCTTCACGCTTTGGAGGCTTGCCCTACTTTTGAAGTGCATGCCCACGTGCCAAACCAAATAGAAACTAGTTCTACTCTATGGAAACCTCTCACAGCTACACAGGGCTGGCACCTGAATCATTTTTCTCCATTTTGTATAGGCCAATATATTCAAGTAAACCATATCCCATCTTTTCTGACAGCTTTGGCCCTTGTTCATTAAGTCTTTGTTTGGCGAGGCCTTCAACTTGGCTCTTTTTGTTGCAGCCATTATGCTTTATTTCATATAACCTAACAACTGAGTGCTACTTACAAGGGGCAAAGTTTTAGATAATGGACAGCGGCTGCCATGATGGTAGTTTTTGTGGTGATGTGGACATGAGGTGTAACAGACGTAACATGATGGACACACTATTGGAGTTGTAACTTTTTCATCTCACAACTCTCATAGAATGTACTATCCCTGAATTACATACATTTGGATTTTTAATGATTTTTCTTTTTAAAAATATGCAAAGATGATTTTTATTGTTAATGAATTTTATATTGAATTTTAAGTCTAATGTTTTTTTACTTTTCCCTATTTTTCTAACAAAAAAGGCACATTAATATGAAAAAAGTTTGCAATTCATGTCAATTGAATATAGTTACTGAGTTATTCTATAATCTAAAGATGAAGAGTTCAAACAAACATTTTGTTTTTGATAAGTGAAGAGTTTTAATAAACATATGATAATGCTTTCCTGTACGACTTATACTAATAAAATATAGCATATTAGCATACGATATATACTTCCAAAAGAAAAAAAAATCTTGAGGAAATTTTCTTATATACGCTTCAAATTTATGACAAGCACATGATACATTGAGTTATAGAAATAATCCTCACTTTACAAAACTTTTCAGTATTACTAACCTGCTACATTTACAAGATTATATTTTTCTTACCATACTTCAAGTGAAGTTCTCTTCTCTTTCTTTTATTTTTAGTTTTATTTTTATTTTTTTAAAAAGGATGTCCTCACGTGATCTTCATTTATGGCTTCCGCTACTGTGATTCCCCCTCCATTTGCCTCTAGCTAAAGTCAATTACAACAATTGATCTCTGGCTCCTTTCTCAAGTATTGATCAAAATAGAGGCTCTAGTATCAAATACTAAATTTATGTATGACCTAATCTTAATGAAATGAAAAAATGAAAAATGAAAAATAAAAATTTATCAGTTAAATGTAATGACCCATTCTTTTGATTTGAGATCTAAGCTTAGGTTTGGTATTTTAAGGTTTGGAGAGCATATCTAGTATTATGTGTGTTTTCAATGATTTATAAGCTAAAATTGTGAAAAGAGTTGGAAAAAACATGGTTGAGGTGAGGTCTATAAAGGTCACTTGCTGAAACTACTGTGACGATGCTACAATGGCACATGCTGCTGTTACAGCAGTGATTTTTAGTAGGACCAACATATTGTCCCTAAAGATATCGTTGAGGTGTAATCGTGTTATGTAACTATAACAATTGTTATTTAAATCATAATACTTTATATTTGTAATTTGAGATTTGTTGTTCGTTCTAACTTGCCAGTTCTTGTATCCTTCTTCAATTCTCCTGCAATTTTAAGGGTGTATGACATTTTTTAAGCATTGTTGGTGAATGTTTTGGCCTTCCAGGGGAGTTTAGGCTATGGCCTGTAATAGTAAGTGGTGTTTGCTACAGTTTGTTGCTTTTTAGATATTTGATGAATGGAATACTTGTATTTTTATGTGGCCGTTAAGCTTCAAGTTTTTTAAAAGCCGATAGCATGAGATTGTTAGGAACTTCTTTATGAATTATTTAAGTAAATTAAAATATTTCTGCTACTTATGCCCTGTATTTTGGGACTTGTGCGCTGCTTTGACGTAGGATGACCAATCTCTACTCTCACATCTTCTTACTGCTATGCTTCTAACTTTGTAGTTCTGCACATATATGTTGTATTTCACTAGAATTCCTGGCCCTTCTAAATTGTGTGATCCATCATTCACAGGTTGGAATATGTTGTTCTTCCTGTGGGGTGTGTTCAGAGGAAAGAGGAATTGCTCGCAGCATGTGACTGGTTCTTTAAAGGAGTTTTGTTTTCCCAGAGAGAATCCCAACCCTATCATCTCTTTGGCAGATAACATATCACTCGGGGATGCAGATAAGGACTTACCTGTGCATGACAGATTTTTCAATGTAGCCCTGGCCACCGAGGCTCCTGTCTCGAGGAAATTACCTTGTTTATCATCTGAAACGGATGGGGATTGTGTTATTAAAGTATCTTCCCTGGACCCGAAGGGTCAATGTGTGCAGACAAATTTGTTGCAGCAAGACTGCAGGCTTAATTCCAGTTGCTTGTCTAGGACACAAACAAGCAGTGAGCTGTCATGGCCAGGAATGAGATGCACCAGTACTACTCTGGTAATGTCAGTTTTCTTCCCGTATGCATATAGCTTGACTCTCTAAATCTTCTCCTCTCTCTGCACACACACACACACACACACACACACACACACACACATATGTATGCCTATGTAATATAGTCCTCTATCTGGGGGATTAGCCTGTATGTTTCTGTCAAAAATTCCAGCAACATATATTCTGAAAACACATAATATGTGTTATACCTACATATATATTTGTTTTGATGCTAACAGCATGTTAATGCTTTATATGCATTCTCCTTGTAGGAAGAAGATTTTGATCGTAACTGCAAACTGGATACTGAATTGCAACCCTCTGTACAATTTGCGAGAACATTTAATGGTTGTAGAGACAGCGCGAAGAAGCTGATGCATTTGGATGCTCCACTCGACAGACGAAGGATTCTGTCGCATTCATTTGAGAAACATCAGGTTGGTTCTCAAGAGGTTGGTGCCACGGTAGGCATTAGTGTGGAGAAAAAAGTACCCGACAGAGTTAATGTTAGCAATGATCAAGTGAAATTTGAGGAGAATTTGAAGGAAGAACATGGTTCTATAGATACAGAAGCTGCTATGAGGAGAGAAGAATCAGTAATAGACCTGACCATGATGGAGCTCGACAATTGGCAGTATAATCACATGGATACTCCAGAGACACTCTTGCTAGCTTCTTCTGCCAGCACATGTCAAACAACCCCATGGAATGACATAAATGGTATGTTGGTTCCAGGAACTGCAAACAAGAAGCAGAAGACTGGTTTCAATGGACTGAATGTCAGTTATAGTTCCGGAGAGACAGCTTCTTCGAGAGACGGTTTTGCACCACGGATATGTGATGCAGGTACCAGTTCCCCAATCAGGGGGGAGAGACTTGATGAAGGTTGCAATGAGACACTGTTTCTTGAGAATTCAGGAAATGCTGAAAGGTACTTCTTTCCTGTAGATACACATTCGTTGAAGGACAGCCCTGGGAATTGGAAAGTCTCGTCATCAAAAGATGAGGACCCGCGTTATGGTGTGCCCCCAAATCTTGAGCTTGCTTTATGGGCCGAAATGAATCCGTCGAAACAGGAAATCCTGCCTTTTTTAGACAGTAAAGTAGACAAGAAAAATGCTCAAGACCAGCCTCTAGAGAATTTGGCAACTAGGCAAGATGGGGATAATGCTTCTGCTTCTCTTTCCCTTTCTCTTTCGTTTCCCTTTCCAGACACGGAACAGACCGTGAAACCTGTTTCAGAGACGGAAAAACTCCAGCCTGAAAAGCAACATGTTAATACTTCGCTGCTCCTCTTTGGGGGCTTCTCAGATAAGTAGCATAAAATGACGCTCACACTGTACATTTTAGTGTCCCATTTCGGTTTGGTATGTATACCAGGATCACGTATGATGATCTTCCATGGGTTTTAAGAAATAACCCATACCCATCTGTTCATAAGCAACACAGATCCATCTATAATTTTTCTCCTTTTAGTAATTTAGTTCTGTCCCTTTGGTTTCATCGTTGCATGGTATGGCTAATTTGTATGTACTCGGAAGCGTAAACAGTTTGGGATGCCATGAGAAAATCTGCATATGCAGATATGCAGATTTTCTCATGGCATCCCAAACTGTTTCATCGTTGCATGGTATGGCTAATTTGTATGTACTCGGAAGCGTATGGTAGGTAGGGTTTTTGAATTGAAATAGACTGGAGTAACAGGTGATGAATGAAATTTGGATTGGTGTAGGCAGTGGAACGGAAGCCTAGTCTGGCTGGTAGCTGTAAGTCCTAGATGACTTTTGGCTCTTCTTATAGCAGTAATAAAAAATAAAGAATAAAAAATATTGGTACATAACGAATGCACGTATTTTCTTATTTATTCCCCTCGAATCTCAATTTGTATTTTATAAATGATTTTGCTTCCGAGGTTGGTTGATTACTTTTTTTATTTTATATATGTGGTGTTGATGTTGTTGACACTGAAGGTAGATTTTGTTAATTTGAGACTGTTGGGTTGGGGTGTGTGTGTTTAGGTCTGAACTTAATCTTTTACATTTGCCAATCTGAGTCTTAATTTAATGAAGTGTTTGCAATTCAGTTCAGTTACAATAACCAATCAGTAAAGAAATTATAATAAAATAAAGTGATTAATTTTTTAATAATTTACTAAAAAAATTTATACTACCAATGACATGCCACATTTATAATAACTGATAATTTATCATCAAGTACATAACTTCACCGACTCAACGTCTATGCCAATTTTGTGACTGACCTAGTTGAGGTGTATTCGGTCAAATATGATGTATACACTTAATGTGGAACCTAGTTGAGCTATGTATGAATGCACTTGGCTGTGGGCCTGAGGCATTATATTCGAAAGCTCAATCTGCATTTCACACTTCGACAATTGCAAAAGCATAATTTGAAGTGCACATGGAAGGGATAGTCAAATATAAAATGCATTGAATAATGCCAACTACAAAATAAAATAAAATAAAATAAAATAAAATAAAAAATAATAATTCTTAGGAGGCATTTTTAAGTCAATATATTGAAATTCAAGAAAGAAAAGAGAAAATAGGAGAGAAGAAACAAACTTTCTTCATTCATTTAGTAAAGATGATAGAAGGAAAAAAAGAAAAAAAACAAAAAAGATAATAGGATATTTACAAATGTTGTCCATTAAAAAATAGGCGGAAGATAAGTGCGTTATTAGAGAAGTTTTAAATTAATTATAGTAATATCTTTTATAAATTATAATAATATAGATATTAGATGATATAATGGTAAAAATAATGTAAAGCTTCCTCTTTCCTTCTTTCCTAACTAAGATAGGAAATGGTGAGTTTGTTATCTTTCTTCCATTCAACCGAACAAAAAGAGTGAAAGACACAATTTATTCCCTAAAAAAGTATCATCTATCCATTCTTCTCTCCATTACATCCAAATTTTAAACATAAAAAAAAAAATGATAGAAGTAGGGAAGGTTTTTTATATGACAATCATGAGATAAATATTTTAAGAGGAGAGAAACACTATCTTATCTGTTATTATAGTGTACTAAGTGAGTGTGTTTTTTTTTTGTTAAACAGTATCCATATAAGTACGGAGATAAAAAAAAATAAAAAAAGAAAAAGAAAAAGAAACCCTGTTTTATGGATAATGATTCTCAAAAATCGTGAATTTTTTATTTTTTATCTCTTAAATAATATATATATACACAGGGCCACCTATTTTATCTATTTTTATCCCAAAATATTATATTAGGAATGAATAAAGTATTAAATTTATTTTTAATAGATTTTGTTAATATTATAAAATAAATAAATTGTAACTACAGATAAAAATGAAAGGGCGTACAGGTGAAAATATATATGAATTTACACACAGAGTTGTCGTTGGACACCAACTAACCTATATATATATATATATTACACTCAAGAGTTCTCCCTTACTAAATAAGAGAAGCATTTTTCTCATAAGAGTAGAAGGTGTGGCTGAAAGGGGCTTTCAACGTATGTCCAAAATCTGAAAAACGTGTAGCGGACAGAATAACGAATCCTGTCGAAAAGATTGGTGGATTTCGGAAGCAACAAAATTTGGTAATCATACATATATTTGTATGTATATACTATCATTTATATCAGCTTCCTATGTCTTTGTTTTTTCCTTTTTTCCTTTTTTTTTTCCTTCTTAATTTCTCTTATTTTTTTTGGTGTCATCGGAAGATTTTTATTAGATCGATTGTTTGGCCACCGTTCGCTTCCTCTCTCTCTCTGCATTGTTCACTCATCAAATGAAGTGCTATTATTCAACACACTCATCGTTTTCCTCAGACTCCAATACACTCATCGTCGTCATAGCGTATGGAAGGCAATGATAAAACCACCCATAAGGTACTACTTCTAATATCCTACTCTATCCTAATTCCACTATTAGTTTTTAATTTTAGGTACTAATTATTTGATTTTGCATATTTCAGATTCTAGGGTTCGACCTTTAGAGTTGTTTAATGTCGAGTGGATATGAATGTTCAGCTTTTATTATTTCTTATTTATTTATTTTTGACTGAAGATTAAATCAGCAAATTTTGCTTGAAGCATTGTTATGGTGAGTCTGTTTCTCGTTTTGGGTATACGTTAATAATCTAATTTTCAACTTCTAATCTCTCATTTTATTATTTAGGAGTCGAGAAAAGGCACCACTGATCTTCGCTTTAGTACGACCATTTAAATTAGTTCCAATTTTATTGATTGTCCCCAAAGAGACATATAAAAAGCATTTCAGTTTTGGTTTCAGTATCAGTTCCATTTAAATTAGTTCATTTCAGTTTTCTCTTTTATGAAATGGTAACATATAAAAACCATGGAACCCAAATCTTATGTATTAATTGTTTTGAATTGTTCACTCTCACCAATGGGCTCTAGCCTAGATGGTATAAGCTCTCCTCCCCCTATGGGGAGATTTGAGTGTTTGAGCCCCGGTGGAGCAAAAATATATAGTGAGCCTGCGTTTGCTTGAGCTTTTTGGAAAGAAAAAAAAATAAAAATTTGTTCACTCTTTTAGTGCATCTGTCTGTCCCTGCTCGTGTGTCAAATTATTTAAGAACTTTAGGAGCTTATTGATACTCTTTCAATACTCCCTAGTCCCTTAGTACAACTCAACTTAAAGAAAAAAAGAACCCATTTCATCATTTCTTTTTTTGTTGGAAGGTGAACCATTTCATCATTGTTCTATCTAAGGCCATAATCTCAATCAAACCTCGTGCTATCTTTTCTCCTTAACATTACTAATTACCCTCAATGTGGACTGCTTCACTTTTCCTCATTGGTGTTGCCTTCTATTTTCACTAAACACGGCCAAAATTTCAGTCATCTCATTGTATCTCCAATTGGTGCTACTTAATCCATTTCATTCATTTTTAATTTTATCCTTTAATCTTGCCACACAACGATGCTCATTTCATTAATGTTTACTTTGTGAATGTTGTTGATACTCTTTCAATGATGAAATGGGGAAAAAAAAACATTAATGAAGGTGTTAGGGTGAGGTAATCTCCTCTGGGTGAAGAAATTAGTGATAAACGATGCAACAGAGTAGTAAGACACAAGATGAAAATATTCTAAAGAGTAGCACAAGCGACAATGCTGGGTTAACTGGTAGAATATGGATTCTTTCAGGATCAATGATAAAAATTGAATATATTTTTGGAAAGTTGTCACTTCTCGACATATATGATGATGGGTTTGACACGACCTAGATGGTTAGACAATTTCCAGCGATTTAGTTGATCACAGTGGTTTAATCCCCTTCCTTGGTGACATGATTAAAGCCCTCACTTCTGCAAACTCTTAGCTATTACAGAGTTTGTGCCACCTGTAGTTGCCTCCTCTTTGAATTTCTCCACAACTGCTGTCTTATAGTCTTGATTTCATAAAAACTACTTCTCAGAGCTTTTCAAGTAAAGAACTAGAAATTGGTTCAAAAGAGCGAGGAAAAAAACTGCTGTAAGTATTATAAGTAATAGCTATATTAGATATACTACATTTGTGTTTAATTGGAATGCTACAAAATAGTGTATAAGGAATACATTTCCATCGGATGTAGAACCCACCCTCTAATTGATGCTTATTGAGATATCAAATACAAAGCAGTTGGGTTATCTGAATCAATCTATCTGTTTATATGTATTTCTTTTTCCATCGATTCCTCATATTTTCAAATATTAGGATTTTAGAATTATCTTATTTGGTTGAGTCTTGCTGTACAAGATCTATTGGTGAAAATTATTTAGTGGTTGTCTCAGGCTGCACGGTAGTAAAACTTTCATCCGTCATATGGTTATATTGTGTCCTAAAGCCTATGACTCTGGTTTGAACTTTTTTCATTCTTTTTGTCTGAGGGCAATTAGGATACTTCAGTTATGTCCTGATGGGAAACTTTTACTTATTCTAAGGATTATTACAAAGTTTTGGAAGTGGATTATGATGCAACTGACGAGAATATCAGAATAAATTACCGAAAGCTTGCACTGGTTAGTTGTCCTTCCTTTTCAGATAGCTTCTCCAATTGTTACAATAGTTGGTCGGAATGGTTCCTTTTTTTTGATGGCATTGGAGCATTGACTGGAAACTGACATGATTTGCTTTCTATTAACATGTAACAGAAGTGGCATCCTGACAAACACAAGGGCGATCATTCTGTAACTGAAAAATTTCAAGCCATCAATGAAGCTTACACGGGTAAATTCTTGTGTTTGGCAAACACAATAGTCCACATTCTCTGTGTTATACCATGCATCCAACATTTTTTTTTTGGCATCAATCCCTTCCATTTGGTTGGTTACCCAGCTGTTAATTTACCATGCCATACGTTGGATAACAAAAGATGAGACTCCAAATGTATATTGAGCAAGTGATGTCTCAGTTCTCAATATTTACTGTACTTCAAAATTTCCATCAACCGTTATTTATGCTGTGAAGTTATTTTTCTAAAATGTATAATTCTCTTGCAGTGTTAAGTGACCCTGCTAAGCGACTTGACTATGATTTAACCGGAAACTATGAGATTGATAAGTATACTTTGCAGGTAAGAAATTTTGTGGTGTCTTTAGGTCTTACGACGTAGGTCACTTTGGCTGGTTATGTGTGTAGATGCTGTGTCCTGACTATTTGGGTATTTTGCCACTGCATTGCAGGAATATCTAACGAGATTTAAAGGGATGATTCTAACTTGCAACGGGCTTGGTATTAGTCACACAGCCATTTGGTGAGTTTATGGAACTGTTTAACCAGTGTTTTGTTTGGAAATTATATAGATGTACATTGAGAATGAGTGATGATTCTGCTAACAGACATGGCAAATAACTGTTTTGTGCATTACATTTTTTATGAGTGTATATTGTTTTACAATTTATCTTTTGTTTTTATTCTGAATCTGAAATTTTAGAGTGATGAATACCGAACCAAATTTTTTTTACATGAACTTTTCGTAGCGTCCCTACACCAGTTATTCTTGAATCCCAATCTCTTTTATCTTCAAAATTGTCAATTTACCCAATGTTTACAAATGTGCTAGATATCTTCAGTCTTTTATTTCCATTCCTGAATCGGTACACGAATTTGAGTGTAGGAAGAAGGAAGGATCACAAATCTTGTGATGGAGTCCATCTAAAGCACCAAAGAGAACAGTTTGCAACTGGCAAAATATTTCCTCACTAGGACATTAAAACAAATAACACAAATTATAAAAATATAACATAGGATTTTGGTCATAAAAAAAAATGCAGATTTATTAACTAACATAAGGAAGGGCATATTGGAAGCAAACAGTATTGAAGGCCTGCAAACTAACTTTAATTATTATTGTTGAAAAAAGTCTCCACCTGTTGCTTATGGTAGAGGTAGATAACCTATGGATTGTTTTGGCTCTGGTGGGTAACATGTGATTGATAAGTCTCTCACAGAATTGCACTGAAGTGTAGTAACCTTTTTATTGTGTTATTTTGTAGAGCTACTTATAATTACTATTTACTGATACAGGTCACAGCAGCTGATGGAATCTAAAGAATGCACTGCCACTGAGAAATAAGATTTTGTTTCGTCCCATCTTGTGTTCGAGATATATGAGGTTCAGATATAGGGCAGATCCAAATCAATGATATGAAAAAGAAAAAAAAAACTTTTCGTATACTATTTATATTAAGTGGATGGTGAATGGGTGAGATCATTGTTTGTCATCATTATAGTATACTATTGTAGTACCGACAGCCCTGTTATTAGTTTATTCAGTTACAGCATCTCATCTTCTGGAATGTAAACAAACACACTGATATTGTGGTTAGACTTGTGTATGCTTTGTTCACAATGATTGAGCAGGGTCATGGTGATTAAGATTTGCTGTGAGGTTGGATGTATCATGGGAGGGAATAGAATAGTATCCCTCAATACTCAATTCCATTTTGGTTAAGGCAACTTAATAAAGTGTGCTGGTTATTAAATGTGGGAGAGTTAAAGGGTAGTGTATCCCTCTCATACAAGTGCTTTCAAGTGTATGCAACACTTATTCAACATATCTACTTCTACGATGCAATACTCATGTAAAATGCAATAGTGTAACGCCTTTATTTCGAATGGCTTGTTTGGCTTCCATTTCTGTTTTTATCTGAAATATTTGTTGTGAAGTGTGTTCAATAGTTTTATCTACCTCCCAAAGGTGAGAAACTCATCCATCTATATATTATTCTACTTATTCAGTTGAATTGTTGAGCGGGAAAGAAAGAACTCAATAAAGAATAAACATGTAAATCAATAAAGACTCCATTGTGGTGAATAACATGCAACACATAAGAAAATATTAGAACTGTAACTCACCGGATCTGCATGACGCTCTGTTTTGTGCCTATTTCCGGCTGTGCAAACCCAACTTCCATCCACATCAATGGATACAAACCCTGACAAATTCAGAACAGAAAGCACCACTGCTTCCCTGTAGTTAAAGCCACATAAGTACACACTCAATACACTCCAATTATTGCGAAGAAAACATGAAAAAGGAGTGGTTGAAATTTCAAATGTTAGGTTACTCCAATTATTCTACTTTTTCAGTTCAACAGGAGTGTAATATCAGTGCAATAATCAAGTTTCAAATAGTATTTTATTTTTTCTTTTTTTATTTATCAGCAAAAAATATACACTCAATTTGTCTCTACATCAAATCACCACCTTCCACATTGAAAGGTAGATAAAACTTTACCAAACTATAACTATAATCTTTGATTTTTTCAAATAATGTCATCATAACAAATTGTAAAAGAGAAAAATTTTAAAATACAAAAATACAAACATTAAGTTCATAAAATTATAAAAATAAATTTTTTAAAGAAGAAAAAGGAAAAAAAAATAAGAAGAGAGAAAAAAAAGTAATTCACATATATTATACGGATTACATGAAAAGAGAGAAAAAAAAAAATGAGAGAATTTTGAATGAAAAAAATATGGTTTAATTAAAGAAGAGGAATACAAATTTTTTTTTTTAAAAAGATAATTAAAAGAATATAAGGATAAAAAAGAGTGAAAGAGATATATATATTTTTTTCAAAAAAAAAAATTAGGGAGTGACATTTTGTAAAATATTACAAAACATTCTAGGAAATTAAAAAATGAAAAGGTCAAAAGTCTGGAGTGTTGTCGGACCAACAAAAAGAAAGCAAAGAAATACTAGTAGGATGCTAATACTTAGGAACGAAGGATCAATCTGCTTCTTTTGACTAGTATTAATTTTACAGTATTTATTTGGATTTCCGGTGAAATTCAATCAGTACGTGTTCGGTTTAGGGCTTAATACACTATGTGGGTGGAGCTATTTTGTGGTCTGGTCATCTACAGATTGTTCCGTCGATTCTTCTACGACGACGATATTCTCACCGCCGATTCCGAGGTCCTCTTCTCCGTCGCCGATAGGTATCATTCACAGATACATACATACTTCTTCACATTCAATTCAAACCCTTTTTAGATTTTCCCACTGTTTCTGTTTCTGACCTAGAACACATACCCTCATAGCCATCACTAATTCAACCAGATTCGGAATTTTAAAAATTTCTTTTCATTTTCTTATTTATAACCCTTTTTGGTGTTAATTTATGATGATGATGATGTATTTTGTGCATTTATTTTGCTGATGGTAGGATTGGAAAGCTTTACGATGGTAAAGTCTACACTGGACTTCGAATTCCAGATGCTGATACCGGTCTGCGACAGAATATCGACATGGTTCTTGTAACGAAAGGGTACCTACATCTTCATCTCATTCATTGCTCCAGTTCTATATTCAATTTTCTAGTCTATAGTTTTCTATGATCAGTTTGCTTCACATTTGTTATGAACATTTTCATTCATTGGAGTTGGGATTCAATAGAAGAATCACCACTATGCACGCTTTACCATCGTACCATGCCTAATTACATCTGTTATGATTGGCAATAATTGGAGTAACCTAACGTTTGAAATTTCAACTGCTCCCTTTTCATGTTTTCTTCTCAATAAGTGTATTGAGTGTGTACTCATGTGGCTTTAACTACAGGGAAGCAGTGGTGATTTCTGTTCAGAATTTATCAGGGTTTGTATCAATTGACGTGGATGGAAGTTGGGTTTGCACTGCCGGAAATAGGCACAAAACAGAGCATCATGCAGATCCGGTAAGTTACAGTTCTAATATTTTCTTATGTGTTGAAATAACTTAACGTTGTTCTAGCATGTTATTCACCACAATGGAGTCTTTTTTTTCATAGTTGATACTCACACACACATGCCTCCATGGAGGCTTGAACCCTTGATCTCCTTTTGAGAAGTAAGGGTCTGATACTGCTAGACCACTGGCTGTTGGTCACCACAATGTAGTCTTTATTGATTTACATGTTTATTTTTTATTTTTTTGGTAAGTATTGATTTACATGTTTAATCAACTGCTTAAAGTGTAAAATACATTTGCATGTCCTGTGATATCTTTTTGTTTCCATTGACTGTATGTGCTATTATGAATATCATCAAAGTTGTTGCTTTTTTGCTTGTCCTGTGCGTAAGTTCAGATTTTATGCCAGTTTTATCTTGTAGGAATCTCCTCCACTTGATAATCTCATGAAGCTGAACGCCATGTCTTAACCACTGGTCCTTGGCTCTTTACAAATGCCATCCACACCTTATAATGAACTTTCTGAAGCAATCACACCAATCTCAAGTTTAAAGCAACCTAGACCAATGCGTACCCAAGCATGTTATATTATAAACTTAGCTGGTTAAGGGATGCTAAATTTCTCCAGTCTTTGATAACTTAGACGAAGTTGTACTTCTGCAACCCTGATTACTAAAACTGAAATCTTGAGGGAAGTACGGACCACATCAAACCTCTTGCTTTCCATTTTTGGTAACTTAGAGGCACCTCTCTCTCTATCTCTCTCTGATGTAGGATGTGGAAGTGCTTTGCTACTAACTGACATAGGAGCTCTGATAACTAATGATGTAATATGAAAAAGGAGAGATATTAGAGAAGATAAGGAGAAGAAAATAAGAGAATAACACAGAGACGAGAGAATAGAAGAAGAAAGCAGAGGATTGAAAACAAAGAGGGAAGAATATACAAACGGGAGTAAGAGAGTAGAAGAGAACTGAGGAGAGCCAATAGAGAAATCAATCAGTAATTTGTTACTTCGTATCAATGTATCAACCCCTATTACATTTAGCCTTCTGTATTGGAAATAGTCCTATTGATACTATAACTAGATGTATAATTTGGGCATATAGCCAATCAGTGTAAGTAGAAGAGATTCTGAAACTACGTTAAGAAGTCTGGAGCTGGATTAGTTGCCGAAGGAATATCCCTCCTTCTAAGGTCAGCCAAAGGAACCTCTACCATTTCTTTGCCTTCCACGAGACTAGATCAAGGTCAAAGACGGGCTGGGCTGTGATTTGGGGCTCCATAAAATTGGGTTGGGCAGTGAATTGAAAGGGAGTGGGATCTAACTGAGAAAGCTCATTAATAATGGCTTTTAGAATGATAGGTATATGGCTTAACACATGAATATCCTCAAAGAAGACAGGAATATAGGTAATTGGTGGAGATGCGCACACCCTTTCCCTAATTGCACAGGCATTCCATATGTTGTTTTCTTAGCTGGCCTGTCTGTCCCTTTTGATAAAAAAAATAGTCCTATTATTACATTTGACTTTCTTTCTATGACGAGAATCCTAAATTTCCAGTTTAAAATCACTAAAAATACCTAATCAAACAACTCATAATAATTTTCAGAATTTCTTTAATATTTTTGACACCCTCAGAAGACCAAACGAGCTTGTCTGTGAACTTGGTGAATGGATTAGAGTTCATAGATAGATAGCTCAGATGAAAATCTTACATAGGATAAAGCCGGTAGATTGAATATACTATTCCTTATTTCGGAAGGAATTGGAGATAGAATGCTGTTGAGGATAATGAGAAGTGAGGAATTTGGCATTAGTGGGGTTATGAAACTAATTAGCATTCCATGGATTGCGTTAGGGTTAGAAGAAGACTGCCTATAGCGATTCAAATAAAAAGAGGGCATTTTAAAGGAGCATGTTACCGTCAAACATTCTCCCATGAATTGATTACAGACATCTGAATCAAAGGATGACTAATGTGATTGGGTAAGCTGGTTTATGAAATTTCAGGAGCATTTCTTAGTCCCCCTTTACTGGTTTAGACAGTAATGGTAGGAGTGTCTTCTATATATTATGGGGCCAAGAGGAAATGGAATTTACTCACTTAAAAATGTCCCTCTTGGATTCCTAAATAGACGGCCGATGATAAATTTCTATATATTTTTGTCATAGTCCAACTTTTCTGATATTGTCTTCAATTTGGACATCTAGTTTAGCATTTACCCAATATCAACACATGGAACCTCATCTTGTGTGTGTTGATAAGGGCTTAGTGCTTGTCCCTGATATAAGCATTCATTTATTGGGAGGAATTTATTTGGTTCTCTTGCAAGTGTTCTTTCTATACTCATAGTTTTGTCATACATGTCCTTTATTATTTCACATGTCTATTTGTGTCTCATTTCTCTTAAAATACACTATTTATACCTTTACTGACATTATCATAGGCTTTTGGGAAGCTTAAAAAAGAACATAAGAGAAAAAGAAAAGAAAGAGAGAAAGAAAAGAATTGCTCTATTACTAATAAAAGAGAAAATCTTCAACTTATGGTTTGAAGATGATGATCACTTGTGAAAATATAAGGCACTTGGTTTTTATAATTGAATGCATGAATTGATGAGGAGCATTAATGAGTATATACATAAATTTGCAACAAAGGATATAAATCAATTTAATGGCCTTGATTACTTCATACATAGTTTCTGAAGTGAAATGCTTCATATACATATCTCACCAGTGATGCATTTGCGTTGACTGAGAAGCAGCTGGTAAAGTTCAGAGATGAAAGGAGACAACATTTATGTTGCCAAGGTCTTCTTGTAACGTTATGCAACTGCTGAGTTTTCACTATTTGTGACACATGTTGCATTTGTAAACATTCTAGTCTATTTCTGTGATCTGTATCATAAACCTATTTTCCTTTGATGCGAGCAATAATATCTATCAGTTATGCCGTAGTGTATTTAGCCCTAAAAATGAAAATTGAGTAGGCTATTTTTTTTTTCCGGTCTGCTTTTGTAAGCTCTTTGATCCTACATAGCCATTAATTCCTGTATTTCAGGTGGCGGATACAAAACGACAAGTTGCAATTCTTGAATCATATCTTGAACAAAGGGGAACTGCTCTTCCAGAAGGATATTTGTCTTTCAAAATAGTATGTCCCAACCCAAATTTTTGGTATGGATCAGAATATCCTTTTGGTGTGTTTAATTGTAGCAGATTGTTTATTCAACTAAAAGCAAGTGGCATTAATTTTCTATTCTGCTCTGAATTTAAGTTGGTTGATGGACATACGCTTGCTCATGACTTGTGGTCTGTATTTGGTAGCTATTTTCTTCTTTAATGAAATCCTTAATCGTAATTCATTGTCTGCACAAATTATGTGCACTTCACTTGTATCTGCATTGCCTGGGGCCAAAAAGGCCCACGCTATGTTCATTGATCTTCCGAATATATTCTGATGGCCGACAGTACAGGATTTGGGAAGCAGAACTGGTTATTGACTGCCATACAAGAAGATTTTCCATTTTGAAATGCAAATGATAGTGAATGTAGTCTGTAGATATTGAAGGTTATTCTGGAAGTTATTTTGAAAATAATTTTAGAAGATGCTACTTAATTGATATAATGAAGATGATGTCAGACCAAGTAGTGGGGAATATGGCGACTAAGGGTTATGTAAGAAGTAGAGATCAACATTGAGGGTTTGGGTCAATATGTGGGAAAACCAATTCAGATGTACTATATTGAGCATGATGTTGAGGCTACCTCATGAAAGACTGCTGAAGATTTACACAGATTTCCCAGAATTTGATGCTTATTGAGTCTTTATTTAGCAATAGGCAAAATACTTCTGGAAGAAATCTTCCAAGCAAAGTTGTTTATGGAATGGGAAGATATAATAAAAGAAGATTGCGTGAATTTTAAAATTTAATACATTATGTAAGTTGTGAGAAGTAAGAACCATTCAGTGGTGGTAAAGTTTTGTGTGCTTTTTTTTTTTTTTTCTTGGGGTCAGTTGTCATCATTAATTTCAGTTAGCATTTTAAACTACTTTTAAATTTTGGTTTCTTTCTTGCAGCACAATGGATTCGAATTATTTCCCACGGGAAGTCATCACCTATGACCAGTGGAAACAATTAAAACCAGAGCCAAAGAGCATGTTTTCTGGTTGGATCAAGGGTGCATTTCGCACTGGAAAGAAAGAAATGCAAGAATCAATAAATCAGAAGCTTAATTTCATCCTCAGCACAGCCCCAATCTGGGATAGGTTTGCTGCAACCTGTACCATTTATGTTTGACGTTTATACTGTCTGCATGATGTTATATTCTGTTTAGATAAAATGACATACTTATAATGGAGGATGTTAATGGTTTTCCTGAGGACATCCCCATGGCTGTGGAAACTTGAACCTGCCATTGACTTCCATAGTTTGAAATGTAACTGATGCAAATGCGTAGAGACTAATGCTTCTCATGGAAAGCTTACAAAAGAAAGTTTTATATTTTAGTTGGAATATATTATGACGAGTGTTGAATAACAATATCATGTAATTGAGGTTAAGGAAACTGAGGGTTATGATTTATGAAAAGGAAAAAAGAAAGAAAGAAAGAAAGCAACAGTTTGGGGTTTTGGAAAATAAGTGGAAGAAAGCTGTTCAAATATACCATATTAAACAGTTCTTTGATATTGTGGTCTCATAGATTAAATCGTTTTTTTTTTTTTTTTTTTTTTTTTTTCTTTTTGAAGAATTTATTTTTATAATACTGAATTGGTTTTTTATCTTCTGTTTGTGCCAGAATGTTTTCATGATTACTCAGTATTCTTTCCTTTCACTGTGTGATGTGTCAATATGCTATATGCAGATTGGAGCTTAAAGGTAATAAATACATCCTAGGAGAATTTTTGGAGTTCAAAGGAAAGAAAGATGATGTTCAGGCATTGACTGTTATCAGGAGATCAAAAGTTAGTCGTCTGATCATCCAGAAGTCAAGCATGTTTGGTATAGGTAAGTTGCTACTTTTTGTTGCTTTTACTTATATTAGTTATGCTTCTCAGATGAAATATTTATTTAAGAAGGGGAATTAGAGGCACAGGTTTCAGGGTTAACTTGAGTTTGTCTAACTTTGAAAAATGTGCCATATTTTGCTTTTGGCTGTGTGTGAATGTTATATTGGTCATCCTTTGTTCAGATATGCTTTAGCTCTAAATTAAATGGTATTTTTGAAACTAAAATGATTTTGAGGTGACACAAGTGTGCCAACAGTTTTTTGTACTTGTGATTTTGTAAGAGAGGTAAGGGAACTGAGCTCTCTATTGGAGGCCTGCCCCAACTTTCTTCCTGCATCCTTTTTGTATGGTCTGTTTGTGGTGTTGATGAACAATACTAAATAATAACAAAATCAGAAGTCAGAAGATTTCATAAAATTGTGCTATCCAGTGGCATCCTACCGTGTCTGTTTTTGCTCTGTGCTACCCAAAGTCAGATTTGTGCGGACGTTGCACCACTCCCCACCCCTCATGTTTCGCATATACAATGCTGCTACAGAAATCCATCCAGGCACAGAAATGTCTGGATCGATATCTTTGATTCTCATGTAATGAAAAAAAAAAAAAATTATTAATTTCCATCTGATCCGTTGAATTTTTTTCATTACATGGGTTTGGCTATCTGTCACATTTCTGCTATACGTTTTTAGTTTGTTTTCAACCTTTTGTTGTCCACTAAATGCAGCCCATTCAAAGCTTCAAGTTTTATACTCTCCTCGTGATTACCGGAGTGAAGGGGCTTCGGGTTCTGAGTGGAAGGAAATAACAGTTCGATCAAATACTGAGGTGCTATTCTGGCCTCAAAATTCTACTAAAGTGTGCAAATTCAAGCTATCATCGTTTATTTCTGCGTTACTGAGTGCCTGAAGTTGTATCTGCCAAGTATACATGATCGCAGGATTCAACAATTATTATCTTATCTTTGGATTTGCATCCCTTCTTCTTCTTCTTCTTCTTCCTCTTTTTCTTTTTCTTTTTCTTTTTTTTTTTTATTATTTATTATTTTTTATTTTTTTAATGTATATAAATTTTGTAACATTTTTATGGTCACATGACTTGAACACGTTATTCATTTTCATTACATGATGACTTAGTGGAGAGATCAGATTGTAGTGACACGGTTTGGCAGCCTTATCATTTTGGTAGGTGTGGTGGATTAACGAGGGAAGTGTTTCATCTCTCCTACTTTGATGAAAATTGGAATTATGATTACCAATGAAAATTGGTAGTAGCATATTTTTCTATCAATTATGTACACTTGTGAAACACCACGTGAGAGCTTTACGTGTTTAAAAGGCTAAGAGAGATAAATTGGTTTATGCTTTTTGGCTGGTTTTCTGCATTTATCTGCTCGTTGTGTGCGTTGTTCATTTTATGGATCCTAATTTTTGGCTTGATCTCTTTGAGGTAGGTTTGCGGTCATAATGGATCGAAATATTTATATCTATTTATTGGTTACCGATATGTAACTAACTTTTGGAATTATCGGTTTTTGTCCTCCACAAATTTGTGTGTTCCAAATCCTTCTAGCCAATTTATTATGCTTTCTCCAGATATCTTCATAAAAATTGTTCTACACAGTTCTAGTAGATATTGTTCAGCTGTGCAAAAAGACTACTTTTAATAAAAAGAAAGGGCTTGCTTGGTGTGTAATTATGTAAATAGTTTTCTGTTCTCCGGAAATTAAAAACGGAAAACTGTATAAAAAATTCTGTTTGGTTCAGTTTCTTGTATAAAAAATTCTGTTTGGTTCAGTTTTTTTTATAGTTATCTGAGTTGCTGAGAACTATTTTTAGAGTTACAAACCAAGTAACTCCTAAACTTCCCGAATTTTGTACAAAAATTCAAATTTTTTTTTTAATTGTTATTATTATTATTTTTCCTGTAAAGGGGTTTCAAGGTATCTCAATGAGTATTGGCCGAATTAACACGTTTATAAGAATCATAACAAATTTCGCAATTCTCATTCTGCATTAACACTTCACATGTTACAACCAAACACCACTACAATTAATTATCTGTTTGCGGAGGCAGAAGGTACACTTTTTGAGAACTTTAATACAACCGTAATCATCCGTTTCTTCCCTTTTTTATTTTTTACTTCACTGGATTTTCAAATTTTGAAATTACTACGTGACCACATTAGTGAGTCTTTCTTTTTTAAGTTTCAACAGTCTATAGTTTTTAATATCTCATCAAAACATTATTTCATTTTTCAAATGCATCAAAGTAATCTAGACTAATTAGCAAAGAGACGCGCAATCTTTAGCCGGAAAATTACAGCTGAAACTCCATTCTAAGTTTTTGTGGATTGGAAGTAGGTTCCAGACTAATGTCCAGGGCTAGAAAGTTTAATTACAACAGAAATCACAGCTACACCTCCACAACAAAAACGAGGATAACAATGACAGATTTCAGAATGAGAATCCCTCCGGTAGGTCTTGAAATTTGCTCGATAGAAAGCGCTTGTACTTTCTTAGGAGAGCTCCTCCTACAATAGTGTTTTATACAATAATCCAGTAAGAAATCTGCATTTCAAACTAAAAACCAAAGAAGGGTGAAAAAGAAGTGAGATAGAATTCACCTTTAGGTTCAAATGGTGGAATGTTCTTGGATAGGACTGATTCTATCAACTTAACAAGATCCTTACCTAGAATAGATCGTGAAATGATATCAAATGAAAATTTGTTAGCTCCTTTGGAGTAGATCTCTAAAGCCATAACTTGTACAACTTGTTGGTTTCTGCTTCTTAATACAACAAAAAGAATCTTTTAACTTCTGCTGATGACTAAGAGAAATGCACAATTTTGCAACTAAAATAGGAAGACTTGTGACTTTACAGAGCATTCTACAATAGTATCCAGCATCTCCCAAGTATCCGCAGTATTTTTCTGTATTCTAGAGGCAAAATGGGGAAAAAATTGTGTACATCTTCAATCCCGTCATCTTTTTTTTTTTTTTTTTTAAATAGTAAAACTGGTGTTCTTACAAAAGAAAATTCCATCCACACGAAATCCACGGTGGGGTAAAACCTAAGAATCTGAAGTCCAAATAGACAATTAATGCAGGCATTGTGTACATGGCCTGAAATATTGTCACTGAACAATGATTATTATTATTATTATTATTTTGTAGTTCACTGAGCAAAGAATTCTATCATTGCTACTGGTGAGACTTTTCAAATTCTACTCAATTTTTATTTATTTTTATTTACCTGTTGTCTGCTTTTCTCCTTCATTGACGTTAATTAGGAAGGATGAAATTTGATTGTCTTCCAACTGCAGCAACAATGTACAAAGACACAAGGAAATCGCATTAAGAAGTTACATAAAGTAAATAAATTTAATTTAACTTGGATAAGATGTACAGGCACAAGCATGTAAGATCTATTGACCTTGGACAGAAGAGCCTTTGAAAGTTCCAATGGGTCAAAAGGTGATGGGCCCTCGCTGTATGCTGGCACAAACTTCCCATTCTGATAGCCCGCCAGGAAATGATAAGCTGCCTGTCCGGGAGAGATCTTTGACACAGAAGGAACAACACCAGAACTGCTTCAACAAAAAGCAACGACAATCTTTAACAAGCACGGAAAAGGTTTTTTTTTATAAAATGAAACAATTAATCACCAGATTTTTATGAGCAAAATTTAGCAGAAAGATACAAGATAAATGCTCATAGACTACAGAAGGATAAGACGGAAAATAGGAAATTCATTTAAAAAGAAAAAAAAGGTTTAAAAAAGACAAAAAAAAAAAAAAAAAGAAAAAAAGAAGGAAAGTTGGCATGAAATGAAGCATTTAAACATCAGTTTTCTATGAGCAAATTTTAGCAGAAAGCTACAAGATAACTCATAGACTACATAAAGATATGAAGGAAATTTAATTAAAAAGAAAAAGAGTGAAATCATAGACAATGTGAAGCATTAAATTATATAATCACCACACCAATGGAAAGATCAATATCCTCCAAGGTACTCTCCGGCTTAAGTCTAAAGTTACTTGGGGATAAAAAAAAGAAAAAGCAGAAGACATAATTCAGACATCTAAAACACTACAGTAATTCTAAGCGGTTCAGAAACCAAACCGTACTGTACTTGAAGCTCACATGTTAAGCACCAGAGCCATGCCAAAGAAAATCAGGGAAGTTCCATACGGCTTCCTTCTCCCATTATGTTCAGACAAATTTCCAAAGAATTGGCTGTATGAAGTTTGTTTTCCAAAAGATCAGGAAAAATTTACAAGTGGGGGATTATAAAACTGATAAACAAAAGCAGATGGTTCAATACTTTTGCAGGTTAAATTCTCAGTGCTTGAGGGATCTGGTTCACATTGAGTGCTAAAAATGAAGAAGAGAAAATAGATTCAAATTTTATATTTTGGGTTTTTCATTTATTAGGACCTCTAAAAATCAAAACGCCTCTCAGCTGAAACTAAAACAACTAATTGGCTTGGCTGATGTGAAATTTTCACTTTTTCAGAACTCGAAAAGAAATATAACACGAGATTAAAAATTTCATGCTCTTTTATTTGATATCTCATACGTTCTAACCAAATGGGCTAAAGAATCTCCTAATCAAAAGCGTTTGAAGTTTTTCTCTAGGAAATTGAGTCCAAGAATCTGAGGCTGCTATGACAAAAGACTTCATCTCAGAGACACGCCAAGGATAAGTCCCAAATAGCGGCGCTGCCTACTTCTACATTAAAAAAACTGAACATGCCAACCATCCAACCAACTGCATGCCTTTGAGAAGTTAGTAGAAACAACATTTGAATTTCCATAGACAAAACTCGAACAATGATATGAGGACCAAACCAGCGCGGTTGTGAACTTGGCATCCAACTAAACATAATTTGAGAGGCATTTGTAATGTCGTCTACAAAAGACTAAACTAAAATCTAGTTAATAACCAACGGGCCAGTGGCCTAGAGGTATCAAGCCCTTACCTCCCATAGGAAGGTAAGGGGTTCAAGTCTCAGTGGAGGCATGTGTGTGTGAGTACCAACTAAGGAAAAAAAAATTATAGTCAATAAAATAAGAAAAGATCTCATTGTTAATGATTACTAATTCATTTACAGTGATAGAGGTTCACTACTGTACTTTTTGTTAATGAAAAATGGCAAATTTGAGGACACATATGAACGGGCTATTTTAATGTTCTCCTCCCTTCAAATAGCTCAAGGGCTCTAGTAAAGCAAGTAAATCCAGCATGTTCCACTGATTGTACCACACAAGAATGTTGGCTGGTAACCACCAGTTGGTTTCAACATATCACCAGCCACAGAAAACAACCTTGACCTATAGAATGATGGCTGGTTATTACTAAAGCGAATAGAAAAACGTCACCACAATAGCAAGGTGCAAAGAACAATTTGACCACCAAAGCCAATGAGGACTAACATACTTGAAAAGATTTAGGGTGACAGTAACTCAATTTTCTTACCTATCAGAAGAAACAAAAATAACAGCATCCGGCAATTTCAGTAGATGAGATCTTCCCAAGTTTCCAGTTTGAAATAAAGGTGAAACACCCTGAGAAGAAAGAATAACACCAGCATCCACCGAAACCAACAAATCTGAGCAGCTTTTAATGGTATCTTTTGGAGCAAACATAAGAATTACTGAATCGCCAGACACTAGAAGCCTGAAATTTGACTACCATGTGATGTGAATTCATGTTTCTGATAATTTTAACACAGTAAAAGGACACGAGACTTTTACCATAAGACAATTGAAATGCAAAAAGAAGACAAAAGGTTTCTACCTAGCAAATAGAGGGAGACCTCCCCGTGAAGATATAACAGGTCCAGACAAGGCAGCTAGAGCTTTTTTTGTTCCATTTGCATCAGCATAGGCTTTACCGCATAAAATGAGTGAAGAGTGCTCAACATCAGCGGCAACAAAACCATCATTTCCTTGAGCTCCAAGACCAAGAATATCCCCAGCATTTGAACTGCATGATAGCAAGTAACAATTCGGATGCCACAATTGAGCAAGTATCTACAATAAGTGGAGGTTTCAATTACCAACTTATTACTGAAGAATATAAGGTAAACATTAACCATAATGTATATTTCAACTGTCCTGTCTGTCATAATAAATCCTCAAAAATCATCCATACTGCCACTAAACTAAGTTTACAGAAAATTTAGACAATAATTATACAGAGTGATTCTTCAGTAAGACTATTACTACATTCCCTGTGAATGATGAGTACCATATCTGCAAGTTTGTTACACGTCACACTTTTTTTTTTTTTTTCTCTCCTTTTGGAATTCAATTACAAAGAAAAAGAGACATAATACCAAGTTGAAGACTCTAAACACAACCAAACCAAGAACAGAATACTGCAAGAATGAGAGAACAACAATAAGTGGCGGTTTCAAATACCGGCCTTAATAATGGTCATGGCACTATGTTAGGTTGCAGAACTGAGGCTGTTTTCCTTTTTTTTTTTGAGGGCCAGGGTGGAGGTGGGGGTGTGGGGTGTGTGTGTGTAGGGGGGGTTGCGTGCTGGCGTTGGTGGTAGTAAGGACATATGTTAATTACAGATGGAGTTTGGCATGACTGTTGTGGGGGTTTGGGTGATTGAAGTGATTCTTGTTCGGTTAAAGTGAGACAGAAGAAGTGACATATGGGGTAGCTGTTGATGGTGATGCAGCTGGAGGTGGCACTGAAATTCACGATGAGGGTATGTTTGACTTCAAAAAGGGCACGAAACCCAATATAAAGTAGCAAGATGACATAATCAAACTCTGTCTGGCATGGAGAGGGTAAGATGTTAACCAAAATTTAAAGGGTGAGCAGTCTAATTTCTCGATCTAGACAGGAAGCATATGTGGTTCTGTGATATCTTAGAAAAGCTAGGGGAAATAAGCCAAACAAAATAATACGAGAGGAGGGAAGAAGAGGTAGAACTGGCATCTGATATAGCACTTGATGCATACCTTGAAATTCTTAATTTTATGTTCTCTTCACTGAAAATTTTCCTTTACACCATTTTTCTCCAACCCTTCGGTGACAGTAATGTTAGAAATTATGCAAGCTCAATTATGATGATCCTAAACAAATGTAGCTTATGACTCATGCCATTATCCTTAAAATGGAGCAGACATAAGGCAAATATCCCTTGGAAAAGGATATTCATCAAATGCCAAATATAGTTTAGAAGCACAAAGTTTAATAAAGCCCAAGTGTCCAATCGACAAGTCTTAAATGATAGACCAGCTTACACCAAAATTATCACCTTTGGCATAAATGTTTTCTCCCCCAAGTACCTTTGGCATAAATTGCTTTACAAATTCAAGACATAGTCATAATATTTCTAAAAGTTAAGAAAATAAAACACAAATTAAAGGTACTAAGCCATGAGATGCATAAAGATTGGCAATACCTTATGGATGTAGCAACATAGACAGTCAAAGGACAGGAATCATGGGAAACAGCACGAGTAGAGGCTCGCCAAAGAACACTGGAAAGTGATAGTACAGCAGAAGGACTATCACTTATAATACGAACTTTTGCATCACATTTTTCTGATGTGCCAAGAGCTCCATCGTGAACGAAAATATCTGAGGTGGATGATATGTGTGTTGTAACCTGGGAATAAAAGATGGATGCATTACACATAGCCAGGTAGTGAGGATGAAAAAATGTCCCAAAGCAATCTTTTCAGTGACGGCAGTGTATTCACAAATTATCTACAAATGTTTAACCAACAGAAAAAGACAGACTAGTGATATATTCTTTCACTAATCTTTCCTCGGTAACCAAGTATAAGCTAGGCTAAATTCTAGTTGTATAACAGGTTAAAATATAAAAAATTAAGAAATTGTTACATATGGATCATTTTAAACAAATTAATTGCTTTAATAAACATTATCTTAGGAACCCAAAAAAATTAAGAAGAAGAAGAAGATTGATCAATATCTAAAGCCTTAGGGATTTTTATTTTTTCGGAGAGGAGGGAAAAAAAAAACTTTGATGATAATGGCATAACAACCAAAAAATGAAGAAATAAAGACATGATTTGTTAAGCTCCAAATCCGATCAAGGGACACTACAGAACTTTAAAATTTGAGCTATTCTTGAAGTGGAAAATTGTCCCTCCAAGGGGCACTTGAAAATAAAAATAAAAAGTCACATTAAGCTAATAAAAGAATAATCACTTCCCAAAACATCAGCTCCAATATCCACGTTTGCCTAAAAGTTGATGTCATGCACTATGGGAAATGCAAAAGATCAAGCCTTATTCTCGTTGCCTGTGCAGAGAGATTGAGAGAGAGAGAGAGAGAGAGAGAGAGAGCCTTATTTTCATTCTGTGTGCAGAGAGAGAGGAGAGCTTATTAACTCCAAGAGTAGAGACATACCTGCTTCAAAAGTTTACTAAATTGTGCCTTGGAAATTTCTGAAGATCCCCCAAGAACATTTCCTCTAACATGAACTGGAAGCCTTGACATGGTTTCTAAATAAATTCAAAAACAAAAAGGACAATCGTTTTGATACAACAAATATATAAAATTAGAAATTATTATGATGAAGCCACTACCTGCGACAGTTGCACCTTTCTGTTGGAGCTCAGAAGGCTTCAAATTTCGGAAAACTTTATCCTTCACAATTATACCTTTTCCAGCCAGAGCCCAGTTAAGACCATAAGAAATTCCGGGAGACTCCCTGAATATATGCATTAAACATAGCTCCTCTTAAAAAAAAAAAAAAAATGGTGTATGCTTGATAGTGTTACTTTTGGCATATTAATAAGGAATTATCGGTCCTCTACATTGAAATGAGAAGATACAGATCAAAAGTAAACTAAATTACTGAAAACCTACTTCATGATACGTGTATAATGGTATCTCTGTATCCTTGATGAGAACTTGGACTTGCTTTTCAGTGTTTATTACAAGCATGAATTTATTTTCTACTATATTTTTTGAAGACATCAAGTCATTAATCACCTAGGAGAGACAATTGTTTCAGCTTCCTCCTCAACAAATGGGATGGAAACTGCATGCTGCAGAATTCCACAAAGAGAATCTTGTCAAAATATGTGCCTAATACAATCAACTTAACTTTTCTATAGACCCAAACAGGAGACACAAGGCAATGAAATCATGCACTCGAGTCAACCATATAGAAAATTTAGCAGAAACCTTGAGTGGAAAGATCTATATTTATGTCTAAAGTTCTAAAAATATTATAAGAAGTGCATCACTATAAATTCATCTTGGGGATATGCCACACCCATACCCAATATTGTTGAAAGAATCAGTTTGACCACCCAAGATGCCAATGGCTCATAAGGTGATGACACAGCTTAAAACAATAGTTGAATGTGGTAGAAAATAAAGGAAGTGATAGGGAGAAGACGAACAGGGTGAACAATAGCTTTCGAAGTTTCTTCATCGGGTAAAACAATAATACGGTATTTGCAGTTTATATTGTGATCAAACTATCATCTTAGTCTGTCCATAATGACTTGTTTTTAGAATCCATTTTCTAGCTCAGTTATTTACAAATTTGTAATGCAGAACAGAGAACTTAAGCGACCATATCAGAAAGGACCTAGTTAAGCCAATCTCCTGAAATTTTGGCAATTTAGTCACACTATTAGGGAGAAATATGATCTTACTCAATTCCTAAAGAAACTAAATTTTTTGGGTTTCCTCAATAACTTGATGAAAACTCTTCAACAAAGAAGTCAGCTGTGTAGGATTCTTTATCTAGTCCTTTTGTGCCTATTGGGTTTCTTTTGGAAAAGTAAAAAATAAGTACCACTTGCCTCTTAAAACAACAAGTCCTGTCAAGTTTGAATAAGACCATTAAGTCATACTTTTAAACAGTTTTTACATCAATTCTAAATTTCTCAAACTTCTATTTACACCTTTCCAAATTAGAATTAAGATTTTAAAATTATAATTTTTTTTAACCCGAGACTAAATTTTTATTTTACAGACCCAAACATGTTTAAAATTTTCTTATTAGCAATCAAAATATTTTGTCATTTTATATATTTCAGTTGTTACATAATTAGTCTATTTCTTGTCAAAATATAAGAAATTTTTTTTTAAAAAAAATTGAATAAAATAATATTAATATCTTAGTGGTTTTTCTTGTGTTATTTTTTGAGCCAAAAAATTAAAAACATAGCAGAATTTTCTATACTAGAGACCCTCAATTGAATTGAAATTAAATTGTGAAAGATTGGTGATCAATTCATTGAAACTTTACAAGAACAGAAAAACAAAACACTCAAATTTTAAACAAAAATTACAGATAAAATAAAGTAAAAAATGCAAAATTATAATATAAATTGCCAAAGGTAAAACTGAAATTTTGAAAGATTTAACTAATGTGAAAACATTTATCAAAAAATGAGATTTTATTGTCTTATTGAAAGTTGGCAAGATCTATTACTAATATAGTTTTAACCAATTAAGAATAACAACAATGGCAATGAAAACAGAGAAGTACTTATAATATTTCTTAATCTGTCTTCCTTTAAAATCCATAAATTCCGAGTTGCCTAACAGAGTTCCAGTTACTCTCCAGCCTAACCATGAATATCATAAAATACAGAATCAAGTTTTAACCCTAATAGTAGAAGCTCATTCATTAAGAAACAATTCAAAGAATATGACAATAAATTTAATTCCCAACAACATATAATATTAATTAAAACCCTTTTTTAAGCCAGTACTCTTCATCTTTCTCTGCTCAAAAGATCTCTATTTGTCTAGAAAATGCTCCTTCTACACATCCCCTACAGTATTAAAATACTTCTTTGCCAAAGCTCTTTTTGGCAAATCTAAAGTAGTAAGAATGCAAGTGGCAGTATATCTCTGGGTATTGAGTTTTAATATGGGAGGAAGACGATTCAAATTGCCCATAAAAGTCTACTCCATAACCAGAGTTTACAGAAAATTCATACATTAGAAGTTGAGAATTGCTGATAAGCAACCATCCCTAGCTGATTTTCTATAACCCAACTAAATCAAAGACGACAGCATCTATATGTGACTGAAATATCATCATATAATTTACAAGAAGATTCAATCAATTGTATCCAAATCTCATTCACAATGATATAATCGAACAATGCAAAAATAAGATGAGTTCAATGAACAAAACTCTAAACTTTTCAGCATATATTTACAAGAAGATTGAATCAATTGCATCCAAATATCATTCCCATTGATATAATAGAACAATGCAAAAGAATAAGATGAGCTCAATGAACAAAAACGCTAAATAGCAAAACAAGAAAGTATCCGAATCAATAGTCAATGTATTTCAACCATCAAAGTGATGAAACCGAAAGGAACCTCCACATAGTCGAACGAAATCAGGAAACACGAAAGCAGCACAAGACTGAATATATGCAGCCACGTATAAATTTATGATTTTAGAGAGAGAGAGACTGACGCGTCGTGAAGAAAATGAAGAGGAAAGCAAAGAGCTGGTTGCAGAAGCAGCAGCTGCGATGGCGTGATTGGATGATGTCGAAGAAGATCCAACTAAAGAGCCCTTTGCCATTCGTTTGAGGAGAAGAAGGTTCCTCATCGTCTCTCTCTTCTCTCTCTCTACCTTTGAAGGCAAATGTTAAAAAGAGCTTGCCGCAATGGCGTGAGACACTCTTGTGCTGCTTTTTCGCGAAAACGTATTTAGATCTTTAAATTATTTTCTTATTGTTTTAAACGAACAAAATTAAAATTAAAATTAAAATTAAAATTAAAATTAAAATTAAAATTAATCAAAATTTAACTTTTCAAATACAGTAATTTATTTTTTCCTAAAATACTTTAAATTGAGATTCCATGAAATATTGTCGAGATTCAGAATTTATCCCAAACCCCAGTTTACTATTCACATAAATAAGAGCTTATTTTAAATTCAGTTGATTTTTTTCTATTCAAAATCTAAATATTTGATCCCAAACAAAGTGTAAATCATAGTAAAAATTCTTATTTTCTCATCCCCGTTTGACTTTTCCTCATTTTTCTTTTTTTTTTTTCTCAGTTTTCTATTATCATCAAATTGACAAAAATATGATAATTTTGTTTTTTCTCTTTTTCTCCCCTTACATATACTCCTTTCATTTCATATTAAAAATTTACTTGAGAAGACATGAGATAGTACTGTGTAATTATTAAAAAAATTACCTGAAGAGATTATATGAAGATTGAATTTAAAACTTCGAGAATGTGAGGCATAAGATTAACAATTAAAAATTGTGGTCCAAATCAAGATATGACTAGAACTTTCAAAATATTATATCAAAGTAGATAGGTAATAATATTAACCAGATTCTGTACAATTGATGACTTGAATAATGTGATAAAAATATATTTTCAGTTGTAACCAAAAAAAGAAAATTCTTAAACAGTAATTGGACCAATCTATCCTCATAAATAATTTATGCATAAAAATAAATAAATAAATAAAGGCATGAAATGCAAGTATGGTGTGCAAGAATGGAATGAAATGCAAATAGAAATGGGAATGCAATAGAATGCATTCTCATTCTATTGTTTGGTGGTAAATATGAAATGCTTAGGAATGGACTGATTCAATGTAATCTCTCCTCTTAATCTAATCACTTTGCATACCCATTTTTAGGGCATAATAAATTCTATAATGATATCGTGTAGAAATAGCGGTTGAAGAGTGACTATTTTTTTTTTACAAAAACATACTGCTCCAGTTGGTGGTGAGAAGTGATCGGTGGTGCTTGAAGCGGCGACCGGTGGTGGCTATTTGTTGTATCTAAAAATCCATCATTTATCTCTCTAAAATTTTCTTTCTTCAAATTTTATGGGGAAGCAAAAACAGAAGGATTACACGATTGAAAAATGCAAAATTGCACACCATATTAACATTAAACAGTGCAAAAAAGATGAAGGAGAAGGGAGGGAGAGAGTCGTAGGTTTGAAGTTAGGAAGCACACATATTTCTACGGAGGAGTACCTGAACACTCCTCAAACATTGGTTGGATACGTGTTCGACACTTCAAATGTGTCTATAAATAAAAATTAATTTTATTATTTCGGACAATTCAAATATAAAAATCATTACAATAATAACATAATTTCATTTTTTAATTTATTTCAGAATAATTCTTAGTATAGAAATTATAAATGAATTGAAGTTCCAATGTTCATTTTTTTCAAATTTGATGTGAGAGGAGAGAGTAAAATAGGACCTCGAAAAGATGACAGAGAATAAAAAGGCGCTCGAAAATCTTTAAAAAATGATAGACAGTAACGACAATAGCATTGCTATCAAACTCTCTTTTTATGTTTTATTTTAGACTGAATTTGTTTCATAAATGTAGTTGGCAACTTACCACACTTGATAATAACATCTCACTTTCACTTTTGTAACTTGATTTCTACTCAGACACTTTTATTTATAGACCATCACCTTTAGAATACTCCACCATAGTGGAAGATTCTGGAACTCAACTCCACTCAACAAAAACTATAGTCCATGTTATGTAGACTTTACAACATTCCACAATCTTTACACAATGTGAACAACTCTAGAACCCCATGGAGAATCCAACTCTACTAATGCAAACCCGTTCCAAACCCTGAACTATCCTATTATGATCTCATCAGTACAATCTATATGGCTGACTTGGTGATCCCCATCCATCCATTCTTTCTCTCCTCCTCCAGTGATAAACAGGTATTTTGGGCAAAATTTGTAAGATGCACACGGTCACTGAGACTCCTCTCGAGTCTGAGGGAGGCTGCTGCTTTTAGTTAAATCACAATTGCATTTTTAATGTTGCAGATATGTAGCAGCACACTCTAGTCTCTAAGGTTAATCAGGCCGTGGATGTCAACTCTCCATTCCAAGTCTTGTAATTTATAGCCAATCCACAGCGGCAGGTTATACTGGCCACATGGTAAGGTTTGTGACAGAAGAAAACAGCGACTTTGGACACTAATCCAGACTCGGCAATTCCCACTGAAAATCAAAGGTACCAGCTAGCCAATCCCCAAAACTTTAAAACAGGCATCGGCAAATACATCATTATTGTATACGCTTTCATATATAAAAGATTCTTCTTTTTAGATCTGATGGAATACTCCAGGAATATGTTTTCTACAACAGGGCTTGAGCAAAAATAGTAAATTACAAAAAGTAGTGCAAGTAGTCCAAACCAAGGGAGACTATACACCAACTAATAAATGAAAAAAAAAAAAAAATAGAAGACGGGTATAAGCAATCAGGATGTGCTATGCCTGGGATGGAACAGCTGAACCATTCGTGATTGCCAACCCCTTCACTTTCTTATATGCAACGTCCTTGGATTTCTGTGATTTCCGTTTCTTTGAAGAGGCCTTCTCTTTCAGCTCTCCAAGAATCTGTTTTTGCTCCGTAGCAGTGGCTTCTACCATTGGCTCCTCACCCGTATTTTGCATATTAGATAGTGTCACAGCTTTTTCTTTTGACACTTCTGCATCCATCTCCGGATCAATAACGGACATTCCTGTTAGCGTATAGTCCAACAGAAATGTGCTTCTCTCCAGCCTGTCTATCCTACTGAAATGCCTCTGGGAATACGGGATAAGGCCTTCAAGGAGTTCTCCAATGCCTCTTATCTGAAACACCATTAGATACCGGCTGCATTAATTTTACAATCCACTAATTCCACTTTCAGAGCTAATACTTATAAACAACAACAACAACAACAACGACAACAACAACAACAACAATAATAATAATAAAACATTTTCAGGGCTAACATAACTCACTCAATAAACTTGAAAGGGATAAGTGGGAGGGGGGATAAATTGTCAGTTCTCTGATGAAAGCCTAAAGTAACATAAGATTTATACCTATAAACAATTTGACCATATCAACGATATATTCATCCTGGAGCATTATTTGATTATTTCTACTCAGTGAACAAGCACCGAAGCACTAACAGCCCTGTGTCACAAAAATTATTTGTCTAGATGCCATTTCATGTGAAAGTCCATAAAATAAAAACCAAGTGCGCCAGGAGATGCCAATTTTATTACTGAGCTGGAAGAATTAGATGCTTTTAATCATGCAACAATCTACAGCTGATCAGGCAGGTATAGGGTGCCCAATAAACAAGCTGTAAGGGATCTGCCTTGCTATGGGTTATACAAGGAAATCTGCATTTTTTTATAAGTAGAAGGAAATCTGCATTTGATATCTCATAGCAGTCATTTAATGATAGCCAATGTAAAATTTCAGATCAGACAGCCATAAAAATCCATCCAAATTTCCTGAACATGGAATTTCAAATGTAGGTCCCAACAGAGCCATAAAAATCCATCCATTTTATGGAATTTCAAATGTAGGTTGTAACAGAGGTAGTCCACCAAATCCCAACTAATAAAAATCGAGAATGTTTGATGCTCATAGTATGCCCTGCGTGGTCTCTTCTAAGTAACTGAAAAATGAATTATGAACCTGAGGAGTCAGAAATGAATAATACCTCAATAATCTCTGTTGGAGGAAGGATACTGAAAACCCGGAAAAGCACTAACTGTGCAACATGACAAAGCTTTGGTTTTGTATTCCATTCTCGAATGTATTCAAAAAGTAGATGAAATTCTTCCTTGCCAAGAGCATGAAGGGCTTTCTCTATCTTATCTTCAGCCTGTCCCTTCCTGTGGAGGATTTTCACTCAGGTAAAACCGTAAAAGTAATGGTGTAGAAATGAGATATGCAGAGATATTACAAACCTGCAAAGTTCAGCGAACAGCTCAAAAAGTTTATGAGGTCTGCGAAGCTCAAACGCAATTTGGATTGCTCTAGTGTAGTCAGCATCTGATACAGCATTTTCTAGTTCTTGACCTCTTAAAACCCCTTCCTCCTGCATCAGCAAGACACTAATCTTATCATACACTTGCTATTAGTATGAAATTGGTAAAAGATAATAGCAACCCAAAAAATTTGTGGAGATATTGGACCCAAGTAAATGTAGTCCCGGTGTATGCAGAAACAAATGGCTAAAACTAGTACGCACCGTGCTAGAGGTCTGATGGATATTATGCATCTACATTTATGTAATTATTATACACAAATAATTTATGCAAAAATACGTGAAGTTTGTACATTCAGCCACTGTGCAAATAACCCAAAAAAGAATATCAATCAGTTCATAGCTAAAAAAGCAGCTTAAGGATGCATCCAAAACCTAAAGGAGTCCCAGCTAATGCTAATGAAGCCTAAAATCCCCAGCCCAAGGCAAGATGATTAGGCATTTTTATGGGACTATGGAGTATGGACATAATCTTGACTACAATGACCAAAGGTTAACCTACTATGTATATAGGAAAATATATGTCGCTCAATTAAATGCCTAGTAGAAGTTCTATAAATTTTTGTCTTGCAATGGATTAACAATGGGCAATCATTGGGACCAAACAAAAATGTCTTGGCATGCTTGGTGTCTCGGATTGCACAAATAAAGGACCAAAAATAGGCAAGGAACTAAAGTAATAGGTGAAATGCCTCACCTCTTTACGAAAAGCTTCCTCTTTATCAATAGCAGTGGAGTCATGCCACAAATTGATAATAGCATCACTCCCACCAGTTGCAAGCATTTCTGTCTTCTTGCTGACAGCCAAGGCCCAAACCTGCAGACCAATATCTAGTGAGCACGACAAGAGGACAAGAAAATTTTAATGGGAGTACAAAATCACAGTAAGTGATGCCATATCAGTATCACTATCCTAAAGAAATTCCAAATTTTCAATAAAAGACAAGAAAATTTTAATGGGAGTACAAAATCACAGTAATTGATGCCATATCAGTATCATTATCCTAAAGAAATTCCAAATTTTCAAAAAAAAAAAAAAAGAAAAAAAAAGAGAAAGAAATATATAAATATTACGAGGCGGTAAGAAATATTTTACATGTTTAACAGGGAAAATATTACGAGTAGGAAGTCAAATTTATTAAGAAAACATTTGGAGCTAAATGGCCACGACAGAAGGTGGCATCATATCAATTAGTGAAAGTAAGTAACAATCTAAAAGTACACATACTAGATTGGAAATCTAAGACCAAAAAGAGGTCCATTTGTGCAGAAAATAACATATAGTAAGACATTCTTCTTTGCTAGAGTTCAAACCATGCAAAAACAACAAATAATATCCATGGTACGCTAGTCTGCAGAGATATGCCAATATGTTTGGACTTTGGAAACCCATGGAATTGGCCATGCCTCAAAAGTCACATGACTCACATCTATTGATTATTTTAATCCTCTTTATGCTCATTTGCCAAATCGTAGCAGCATATAAATTCTTTGTTTGCAATTTTTTTCAATATTCATCAGTATCATAGTAATTGCTGGAAGTCAAGTAATCACGATTGCTAGTATGTGGTTCTTTGCAATTGAACAAGATAGTAAAATCCATATGAGATGGAAAAACCAAGTTGATTAGACACCATTCCAAATCAGTATAATACACAAAACCAGGACGTGTAAAAAGAAATCTAGACAATCATTCTCCAAATATCCAAAACAAGACCTACAGAATGTATCAAGTAGAGTTTTTCAACACCTTGTCCTCATGTCGATCATAAGTTGCAACGCATTCATTAGTTTTAACAGTCCAAAGCTTCACCAAACCATCAGCACCTAAAATTGAAACCATTTTTTTGGTAATTGTTAAAACAAAACAATAAGAAGGACCAGAATTTTCACACATTGAGATGGCCCCATTACCGCAAGAGATAATCTGGGTCCCACGAGTAAGAAATGATGCTCGATATACACTTGAGGTGTGCCCTTCAAATGTTTTTAAACATGAACCATCAGATATAGCCCATATCTTTATTGTTTTGTCTCCAGATGCTGTTATAACACATTGATCAACTGGAGAAAACTCTACAGACCAAATTCCCCTTTTGTGACCTTTTAGTACAACCACAGATACTAGATCTGGAAGCCTCCAAACACAAGCAGTGCGATCCTGATCATAGAGAGAGGGGAAAGATATTGTTGGAGCAACTTTAAGAAAGAAAAACAAGCAGTCATCAAGAAATTTACACCCTTCTCTATCTTTTCACTTTTCCTCTATTCAATAAAAAGCTATCTGAATGAAATCAAAAGGCAAAAAGTGACAATAACATGTTAAAGCAATGCCATGTAACTTACTAACCTGGGAACCACTACAAACAAAACTATCATTGGGTGAAATAGCTACAGAATTTATATCCTTATCGTGGGCTGCTACAACTGCTTTTGCTTTCAACTTAGTAGGCAGATCAGAATAATCCGAGAGAGCATCCATACTCCACACCTTCAGGGTACGATCACTACACATGACAATACATGTGAGTTTAAACACACACACATGCTAAAGTAAATAGTTTGTCAAAATAATGGTGGAAGAGAGATAGAAAGCTACTAATTTCCAATCCCAGAATCATGTTACACTTAAGATCACACATTCAAAAAGTGAGCAGTACAACATACAGCTATTGTTTGCACCGACTAATACATACACAACTAAAATATATAATAATTAAGGCTCTGTTTGTTTTGGCGTAAAAGTATCTTCTGGTGTTTGATTGACTATTAATTACAAGGAAAATATATTCCTGTAAAACATTTTCATAAAATGTCCCAAAAAATGACTTATCTTTTAAATATCCGTGTCATTTTTGGAACTCGGTGAGTCTCGACTCCCAACCCTCTCCTAAAACCAATACACCGACAGAAAGAGGAGAGAGAATAAAAAGCAGGCAATTGAACTTTAAACTGTTGCAATGACTTGTATGACGGTCTAGGGGGAGAATTCAGGTAGGTCTTATATTGCCCTAATTGTCTTGTATTACAAATTCATCTTGTGTGATTTTTTTTCATTTTTATACACTTCACATACATGTATTTGTAATTTTGCATGTGTGTATATGCATACTGGGGGTCTTGAATTTTTGAAGATAATGTTTCTTTCTCAAATAACCACAAGGGATAATTCCATAAAAATGGAGTTTTGTGAGTCAAAAGACAAAAGAATGGAGTCAAAATTAAGTTTTCTAAATTAATGGAATTTTCTCAAAGTATGATGTGGACATGGAAATTTAATTTATATCATCTTTTTATTTCCAAAATACCCTTCTATTACTGTTATGGATCTCTGCCTCTACATCGCCGGTGCTTGAATGCCTCGAGCTTTTTTCTTTTCTTTGGATGAAAGGCCCTCTCTCCATGTAGGGAATAACTTTTAATGGTGACCAAAGGCCCGCAAGACTAGAAGTCTCAATTGTTCCGGAGCAACATTAAAAAAAAAAAGAAAAAAAGAAAAAAAAAAAAGCCTATTTCATCATCAATCTCTCTCACCCCTAAACCAGCCCCTTCTGAATGTGTTCATCTGTAATGGCAAAAACAATTCTTTCTTTTTGATTGGTCATCTATTTCTTTCACCCACCTAACTAGCAAACCCATTTAAAAAAAAAAAAAAAAATAGCAAGTCCATTTAGAAAAGTGCAAATGACCAGAAGTTTTGGATGAATTTCTCAGGTTTGTTGGCTATTCGTTTGGGAAGAAGGGTTGCCATATATGGGTTTCTCTCTCTAGATATGAGGGGTAGTAACAAAATTTCATAACAACAATAGAAGGGTATTTTGGAAATAAATATGTAATGTACATTAAATTTCCATGTCCACGTCAGATTTTGAGAAAATTCCATTAATATAGAAATTTTAATTTTGACTCCATTCTTTTGTCCTTTGACCTCCAAAATTCCATTTTTATAGAATTATCCCTAACCACAATGGCAAGTCAATGATTGAAATGAAAATTTTCTACAATATTTCAGTTTTTTTACGTAAAAATATTTTTCATAAACCAGACATCTAATTTTTTTCTCAAAAATATTTTCAGGATTGAAGCCAAACACTGGAAAATAAGATGAAAAAAATCATTTTACATGTAAAAAGTTTTTCATTAAAAATATTTTACACGGAAAATGTTTTATTTCAAATCAAATGGAGCCTAAATGCAGAATCAATTGGTATCATCCAAATCAAGAGTATTAAGAAAGAGAAAAGTCAATAATTGCCATGAATAATAAAGGTGTTCCATGATCAAACGGTCCTCACAAACATGTCCTCCAACGTTACACTAACCATCAAGACCCAAAAATGGAGACTCAACTTTGAGGTGGATTGTGGCAGGGGAACAGATGCCTAGATCTGGCCAAGAATGAAACTAAAAAGCAATCTTTAATGTATTAAATTAACCCTTAGATTTTTAAAGACAGTTTATTTAAATAAAAATGGTAAGCACCTGTGATTCATCTAGAGATTGGTACAAACAGTAAATATTCCCTCTCAGCCGAGAAAAATCTATTATGGGCACTTATTGGTTATTAGTTTTATAAGCCCATGAAGAACAGAAGGAATCAAATATCACAATCCACATGCACAATCATAGAAGCCTCATCATTTAAAAAAATTCAAACCGCACAGGCACAGTGTAGTGAAAGGTAACTACAAATTACTGGGCAAGTCCTTACCTACTGCCGCTAACAAAAAAATTATGCCGTTTCTTTGGAAATGCAACGGCTCCAACAGCTCCCATATGCCCTACACCAATTCCAATGCAACATCTTCTTTCGGATTCCCATAATCTAACCTATGAAGAAAATTGAATTAACGACACAGACATCAACTCCATGTTAAACTGAACAAGACAGAAGTCATGATACATTCATACTGACACCATACTGTGAACAAAGAACCCAAAAAAATGGCACCCTTCCTAATTTAAAATTACTTTCAAATTTAAAAAAAAAAAAAAAAAAATGAGATGTTGCAGGTTGTTGTTTCACTGAATTCTACAAATCTATTACTTCAGTTCCCAATTAAGATTATTAGCCAAGTTTGCTTTCCAAATTGTATTCAACTATTTTTAACTTGAAGTAGCCAAAATGCTACCAAAATGACCGACCCATCACATTACAGATAAAAAAAAGAAAAAAAAAGTGGGAAAAAGAAAGAAGCAATACCAACCACTAACAACTCCACAAGAAGAAGAACTTACAGTGTTGTCCTTGCTTCCAGTAACAAGAAGTGTTCTTCCAGGGCTTAGTTCACAGGTATCAAGGCACAAAACAATCTCAGTATGACCTGCCAATACATAGGAACATGACATGGATGCTAGGTCATACACTCTTACCTGCATATGTGCAAAAATAGAATAAAAGTTAAGAACTGAAACCAACAGATTTACAACCAGATTCTTTCACACAAACACTATGCATGTAATTTATATGAATACCTAGCCAGGGCCATGATGTCTGCTACCTATGCTATCCATGCACGACATTTCAATTCTGTAAGTGTTACTTGGGTATTCATATACTGTAGAAGTGTCTATTTTAAAGCTAAGATCATCCTAATAACAATACAGAATGCAGAGGGTTTACACATTATTTTAGGTTGTTAACTAAAAAATGATAATAAAAAGGTTTTCTTTTTTCTTTTTTTTCTTTTTTTTTTTCTGCTCTTCTAAGTATGAAAAGAAGAGTTTACTATTTGTATAACCAATGTGTCTCTTTTGATAAAAATAACATTGAATATCATAAATAAGTTAATAAAACGAAATTTCCAAGTTGAGATTTTTTTTTATCTTTTTCGTCTTCCCCCTAGCAAGGAAAGTGGGTAGAAATAAAACTCCAAAGCCTGTATTCAGGTACTACAACTGGACATACAACACATATGCAGAAAGAAAGGACTGACCCTCCCTTAGGAGATGACAACTGCCATAAATCATCATTATCACAGGAATTTGGCAATGTCATTTGAAATTAGCCTGCAGTTTCAAGGAAACCAAGCCCATTAAGGAAAGTGATTATCTATATAAAGTTTTTGTACTGTTGATTCCTAAATGCAATGTCTCTTCCCTTTTGCCACATATCGGTAGTAGTAGAGCAGGACTGTAGGAGTGATTTGTAAAACATAAGCCATAGATGTACCAGTTGCTTAATACTAAAATACACACATATTTGATCATAAAGAAGGTTAAGAAACCAGATGATAACCTTATGGAAGATGAAAACTTTAAGCAACTTACCTGTTCAACACTAGTAGCAACAGCAAGAAATTGTTCCTCCTCACCCAAAAACTTCATATCTACAATCTCTTCATTGTATCCTACAAGCCTTTTGCCTAGGTTTAACTTCAAATAATCTTCAGTGTATTCCATAGGGGAATAAAAGAGAAACTGTTGGTCAGCTGTGACACAGAGCAATCCTTGACCTAAGGGCAACATAATAGCAGCAGTGAAGCCTCTTCTCGACTCTTCCTTGTCTGAGCAAACAGTAACATGTGAAGACTGCTGCTCAAAAAGACAAACTGCACTGTTGCAGCATCAAAATACAAAAATTAGTACACACAAACTGCATTCTAAATAGAATGAAAAGGAAGCACAAGAGAAAGGATCCCTAAGGGCTCCCAAAATTTATATATTTCCAGTAGTTAAAAAACTCGTGTTCTTACCCTTCAGAGTTCCATATCCGTACAAGCCCACGTTCACCAACTGTAATAAAATCAATTGCTGGTGAATCACTTCTTTTCTTCCAATGCTGCTGTTTGTACAAGCCCAGAGATGAAGCAAAAGGAGATGAAGAACAGATCACACACACAGATTCAAGCCCCTCATATGTTGGTATTGTACTCTTGAACCCATAGTGATGAAGGTCCCACAAGTTTACAACCTGAAATTAATGTATAGATTATGTTGTCAATCAATCAAGTCATGCGATAGATCCCATTACTATATGCACGCTCAAGTAACGACTACATTAAGAAACAGCAATCAGAAGGTGAATAATTACCAAACATGGGTTCTAATGAGTAATGGAAACATGTAAGATGGTGGTCCCAGGGGAATTGAATTAGGGTGGATACTGAGAGAGCCTTGTGTGTGTGTGTGTGAGAGAGAGAGAGAGAGAGAGAGCTGAAGGAATCCTAAGGTCACGTCTTCCTTATTAGTGCTAGTTTCACTTTACAGAAAAAGTTCTACTTTCTTCTTGTTAACAAAGACGTTTTGATGCTTTTTGGAGAAGAGTTAAAAACCTATTGAATGAGTATTAATCAATAATTTCTCTTTAAAATGATGAGGTCAACTCCTATCTGTAGAAAGGATACACGTGCGAATAAGAGGTGCTCAAACTAACATGACAGTCCAATGGATCACTGCTACTGTGATCAAACGATCTAATGGCATGTTGCCACATGACAATGGGAGTGGTCCAATAAAAATTCTGCCACGTATTAAAGGTGACAACCAATGGGAAGCTGCTACATTGCTAGGGATATCCTTTCAGATGTCAAATGGTGTCTCCCTCTTGACAGGCAGATGCCTAGACAACAAGAGATCAATTTGACAAACCCCAGGCTTCGATCACAAAGCCAAAGATTATAGAATTCCACGTGGACCATGGTGCAGCTCATAGGTCACTTCACAGCCGCAGACTAAGCTTGAAGAGCTCCCTAGGTATTGCTCTTGACCTAGGCAGACAAAAGATGCGTCATGCTTCAGTGCATGCTAAGGTGGCCTTTGAAAGGATAAGGAAAAGGTGGAGATCATTTGGAGACATCTGATACACAATCAGAGAGTACACAGCTGAATCACATGGAAATACATTATTGCACAGCTGGGGGGTGAACGACATGAGCCGATTAGGCTGACCAATCCCAACAGTCGAAGAAGTGCACAATGGTGGAGAAAACTATTCTTCTGTTGCTAATTCACTGACGTCCAACATATTGCACATGAGCTGGCCAGCCACGGGCCTGAGATGATTGAATTAATATGAAGACTCAACAAACATCATATTGTGAGAAGGCTAGGTATCTAGTGGATAAGTCCACATGTCAACTGCAAATTGGAGAATAGTTCCCTTGGAAATTGTGGTGTGTCAAACGAGTGACACATCAGCCTTTGTGGTGATGTCACATGGCTAAATGAAAGTGAGATGTGAACTGCCACCTTGTAGGATCAAATAGCCACACTAAGCTCAACAAAAATCTTTCAAATGGAGTAATCACAAGAATATTCTTGGAATGAAGGACAAAGATACGTAAATATGGTAACATGATTACTTTGACCTGCTTGATTGGGGTGAACAAGGTTATACTGAGATATATTGGAATTTTCAACCATATTATCAAGCAAGACAATAAAAAGTTGAGACATGCCTGATCTCTTCCAGCACTAACTAAGGTCCATCCATCTTCAGATACTGCCATGGAAGTCACGGCAGAAAAGTGTTTCTCAAGTGTTGCAATGCACTTTTTTGTTGCAAGATCCCAAACTCGCACAGTGGCATCATCACTTCCAGAAAAAAGCTAGAAAAACAAAGAAAACTGGTCAGACTGTTTGTAATTAGTATAATTAAGCTTCTCCAAGAAAGATGAATACTATTGAGAACATCAACTAATGAAAAAATCAGTCACAACAGCAACAATCATCATATTTAGAATGAGCTACCTCCTATAGCTCAGCCAACCAAAATTAACAACAAAACATGATATAATTATACAAAGCTTCGTTCAGAATTAGCAACTCCATATACAAAGCTGACATATAACAGTTGAATTATATTTATTTATTTAATCAACATGTTCATAAACCATGTCCTTTAAAGCACCATTAAGAATATCAAACCATTGCCTTGGATATTTCATTCTATGTAATGCCCGTCTTAGTTAATTAACTTCCTCTTTATTGCCAAAAAACAAGAATCCAAAACAACCATAACATACAACTCCTTCTGAAGATATCCACGTGGGCATGCAATTTAGACGGCTAATTTATCAAAGTATAACAAGGGTAAAGCAGCAAGGGATGATGGCGCTTTGATATAAATCATCTTCAAAACCTAGGTAGATGACACATGCCAATACATCATGTAGCCCCTGTAAAACTATCTTTAGCTATAGAAAAGTATGGCACAATGATATTAGTACTTCAAATGTAATTCGAATTAAATTGAAAAGGCCTCAATGATGATCCACAGCTACATTTTCATGCAAAATTTCTACAATAATCCTTATTGGCAGCTTGGAAGGATGATGAGCAGATTAGTAATGGAAATAGGGAAGAACTTTAAATGCCCAAGTTATTTTTTCCAGTTACATATTTTCCCAAGTTTGTACTATGTGGTGTATTTTTAACACAACCACCCCTACTTGCCACATATCACATATGTAAGATATTCAATTCTATGAACATGACTATGGACTGTAGGTCCTCTAATGAAACGCTATAACACATATAAATTCATGTGTGTGTATTCATTTATCACAGCTTCTAGTGTGCCATCTAAAACAAAAGAGCAAAAAAATTAAATAAATAGTAACAGGTAGTTTTAAAACAAAAACTTACAATTAGTCGATTTGGGTCAGGATGGAACATAATACTAGTCACCACCCCCTTGTGACCTTTGAAGTAATGCGTGCAGAAGCCGCCATCCACGTCCCACACGAGCACTTTCCTATCAGCCCCTGCAGTTGCCAGCAACCCACCGGACGCGTCACAAGCCATGCCCATCACAGGGCCTTCATGTCCCTACAAATAATAGCTTCACTCATCAATTAATTTGTCAAGGAAACAAACAAACCCAATACTGCATTTTTTTCTGTTAGTTTCAAAAAAATGTTTGGGGGGATTTGACGTTACCTTCCAAGAACGCAAGCATTTTAATGAAGAGAGGTCCCAAACCCTAATTTGCCGAGAGTGGCTGGAAGAGAAAAGGAAGTTGTCACTAGGGCTTAGAGCAAGGGCTGTAACGGGCTCCGAATCGCCTTCAATAGTGGACTTAATGGAAGCGTTGGAAGAATCGACGATCTTGATGGTGTCATCACAGGCGCAGACAATGAAAGATCCGTCGGAAGAGACGGCGAAGGGTCCTCCGGTGTAGAATTGTTGCAGGGATTGAACGCAGCCATAGTTCCTTTTCAAGGCAAGAGACGCCATTTTTGTTCTATCTATCAGTAATCCGTATGTATGTGAATCAATTCGACTCCCAAACTAAGGACAGAGCATAAAATTGTAGAAATAAAAACTACTCGATATAGCTAGGGTAGGTCCGACAACTGCAGCTCCTTGTTCAAATAACCAGAGCTGCGTCTAGGGTTTTAGCCTCCTCTAGCTTTAACACAGGGTTTAGGGTTTTAAGAAGTTATATTGAGCTACTAGTTAGTGGACGAGCACTTTAACTACCAAGTTACTAAAACGATATAATTTTCATTTTTAGAGTGTTATTTGGCATTTTTAAATTACTAGGAATTTTTTTTAAATATATATATCACCAATGAGTCCTTTCATTTTTTGAAAAATGCCAAATAACACAATTTTTCTAGTTTATGATTGTCCCCCATATATGTTACTATGCAAATAACATCCTATTTCTAAATGATTTTTTTAATCAAATACATATTAATTAAACTATCAATAATATGTGTACAACATGCTTTAAAATTTAAATAATTCTTGATCCAATTATAATTTAAATTTAATTTATCAAGTCGAATGTAGATCAAAATTTTATTCATTAACATGAGCACCATGTATAACATCCTCATTAATAAAAAGAATGCTATCAAACACTTGCATAAACATGGGTGCAATTTTATGTGCATCAACTTGGGCAATAACATTCTTAACCAAATTTGAGCTTTCTTTTTAAGTTTGAGACAAATATTTTTTGTACTGCATTTATAAAAAAAATTAGGATAAATTTGTTGAGGTTTGGACAAATTATATATTGGTAGATCATTTACCATTTATTATTTTAACTTTCTTTAACATTTGGTGCGAGTTCTCGAATTTTTTTTTTTTTTGACAAATCTTTATAAAATAATAAATTTGCCCCTTCTACTATACAATAGAATATATTATTATAATATAAGCGCAACTTTTTATACTAAAAGTTACATTTCAACAAAGGTGAATGAAATTAGGAAATATCAAAATATGTCTATTTGTGTGTAATTTGCTCAAAGAGAATTTAATATAATTTGTCCAAAAATAATAAACTCTCAATTCAAAAAAAAAAAAAAAAAATTGATTCAAGTTTTCATTTGCGGGGTTAGTCAAGTAAGTTTGAAGTTGGTAATTTTGATACAGATGTTTTCATATTTGATTTAATTGCCAAATTTTTTGTAAAATACTAATAGGGTTTTAGGATTTATTTGTTTAGCATGAAAATTTCTCAAAAACCTTGTAAAAAAATCTCATTTCACAGTTTAAATAACATGAAAATTAATAAAAAAATATTATGAATTACCTAATTTGTCCATTTCTTATTAAAAAAATAGCATAAATCTAAACAAATTTATAATTAATAAATATTTAAAAAAAATTAAAATAATATAAAAATCATACATGAAATAAAAGTAATTTATTTTAGAGAGTGAAAGGGGGTGTAATTGAAATTTTAGATAGTTTTCTTGAAAGCAAAATTTTCTTGTATTTTTTTAGTAAAATTTTGTGTAAAAAATCAATTTTCTACAAAAATTTGCGTTTCTGACTAACCAAAAATAAATTTTCTTTTCTTTTCAAATTATAAAAAAAAAAAAAATTAAGATTAATTTCAATAACACCCCCTCAGGTTTAGTTAAATATTATATTAAAATAATTTTTAAAAATTACTATTAATTAGGTCTAATTTTGTTTTTCCGTTACTAATATCGTAAAAACGTGTGAAATGATAATTTTATCCTAATTTTTTTAATTTATTTAAATTCAAAGTATAGCAAACTTAAAAGACAAAATTGCCCTCATTTGTTTCTCTCTCTAAAATTCACTCTCTCCCTCTTCTGCACGCTTGCACCACTGTCATCCCCACCTCCAACCACAATCACCACCACCACTTTGTATCCAACTAATGAATCTTGTAATAGCAGCCACCACCACCATCCCAACCCCACATCCACTTTGTATTAAGACAAAACAAACACTGCGCATAAATTTTACAATATATATACATAAATAACTGTGAAGCTGAAGCAGATTGGAGTATTTACAGAAATAGAAAATTCTCAAAAATCATTCCACCTAGGCTCGGCATATTGGCGACACAAGGAATTGTTGGAACCCTAATTGACCCACCGTGGTCAGGAAAACGTCAAATTTGGGAGAAATAGATATGGTGCCGGACTGCGATGGCAAGCACGCGAACGACAGTGCGATGACAGCATCGAAAATTGCAATTGAGTCATTGAAGTGGATGTGGCAAGTGTCGCAGTGGAGGCTATTTATGCAGTTGTTGGTGGTGGTAGTTGATTGGGGCATTTGTACTTCGATGGGTAGATTGGATTACAAAGTTATTGGTTAGGAATGGGAGGTAGTGCTTCGCCGGAGAAGAGGGATTCGCCGGTGAGTGGTGGTGATTGAGGTGTGGCGCTAGTGATGGGTTTAAACTCTGAATAATTGATTCACAAACTGGGGGTAATGGTTGAAGATAAGTTAGAATGAGTATAGCGAGACTGGTAGTTGGTGGTGGCCGACGAGACTGGTAGTTGGTGGTGGCCGACGTCACTGGTGGTGGTGCGAGAGGGAGGTGCCCCCCCCCAAACACACGCACACACACCAATATATTATATAATTGTAAAATTTGTAAAGCATGTTGGGATATTTTAGTTTTTTATTTAATTATTAGGGTTATATGAATTTTTGACAAAGTCAAAAAAGTGTTTAAGTAGAGTTCTAAGAGTATGAGTAACGGACAAAATAAATGTTTGTAAGTTGAGTAATAGTTATTTTTAAAAGTTTTTTTAATATAAAATTTGGTTAAATTGGAGTGAAATTATAATAATAATGATAATAATAAAAAAATAAATAAATGACGAAACTCGAATCTCTACCTCACCTCCTCTCTAACTCGCCACGTGTACACACACGTTCTAACTACGCCACCATATTTACCTTCACTGGATTGCTCTGCACAAAACCCTATTTTAAACCCTAACGCTGGATTCCTCCCCCACATACCACCCCCCTCTCTTTCTCTCTCTAGAATTAGGTTAGTTAATCTCATCTTCGAACAACATGCAAATGTTGATTCTTGTTGTGAATTGCTGAACTCTCTCTCTACCTACTTGCTAATATTTCTCTTTAACTACTAGTAGAAATATTTAATCTTTCTGTTTGTTTCTCAGGAATTTCAACACACATTCAAGATTTCCAAAGGCGATGTCGGAATTAGCCAGAAGAAAGTGTCGCATAGGTTACGCTCTTGCGCCGAAGAAAGAGCAGAGTTTCATACAACCTTCCTTGGTTCAACATGCCAAGGACCGTGGTATTGATCTCATCCGAATCCATACCGACAAACCATTGACCGAACAAGGTCCTTTTGATTGCATCATACACAAACTTTATGTTGAAGAATGGAAGAAACGATTGGATGGGTTTTCCCTACAAAACCCTAATGTTGTCATAGTTGATCAGCCAGACGCCATTGAAAGGATCCACAATAGGGTATCAATGCTTCAAGTTGTGAATGGATTGAAAATATCTCAAGAAAATGAAACTATTGGGGTTCCGAAGCAGATTGTGATCTACAATCAAGAATCGTTGTTGGACCAGAAAGCTCTTGAAGAATTGAAGTTTCCTGTTATTGCCAAGCCGTTGGTTGCTAATGGGAGTGTGAATTCGCACCAAATGTTGTTGGTGTTCAATAAGGAAGGACTGAATGGGCTGACACCACTGCCGATTGTTTTGCAGGAGTTTGTGAACCATGGTGGAGTCATTTTCAAGGTGTATGTTGTTGGGGAATACGCACAGTGTGTGAAGAGGAGGTCATTGCCTGATATTTCAGAGGAAAAATTGGGGACAATGGAGGGTCTGTTATCGTTCTCGCAGATATCGAATTTGGCTAGTGAAGATCAGACTGATGATCTTGATGCAAGGCTTGTTGAAGAGGCTGATATGCCGCCATTGAGTTTTGTCACTGAGATAGCCAATGGGTTGCGAAAAGCCTTGAGGCTTAATCTTTTTAACTTTGACGTGATCAAGGACAATAGGGTTGGAAATAAGTATCTTGTTGTTGACATCAATTACTTTCCTGGTTATGCTAAGATGCCTTCATATGAAAATGTTTTAACAGACTTTTTCTGGGATATTATACAAAAGAAACGAGACGAGGAGGCGAGTTTGGATGCTAAAAATAATCAGGGTAGTGGCTCTGATCATAGGGAGATCCTTACTTGTGACAAGGATGAACAGAACTAGTGAGCAACCTCCTCCACAAAGATGGGGAAGATTGAGCTTATGCTGTTCTACCCATTAGGAGGAGAATAATGCTTATGTACCGAGTTTGTTGATTTGGCCCTGCATAAAATGCATGGTTCCTTTTGTAATGCTGATACTTAATAATTTGCATTGGTGGGTTTTACTGAACCTTTTCAATGGTGCTTCCTCTCTTACTTTGTTTATTGCGAGGTGTGTACAATGTATTCAAATTGCACTTTATTTTTGGAATTGTGTTGACTCATGGTCAAGTTATATGGTGATCTGCACCAATTTTTGGCTTGTGTTACCTTTTTCTAACATTTTGATTATGTGTATTCTGATTTCTGACATTGTGCCAAGTATAGGTAGCATTCAAATATTTGAAGTTTGGGATGACCAGAACTTCTTTTGAGGGATGTTCTTTATTTGGTTTGCATACTGTGTCATATTGTGTGAAGATGTTAGTGCTTTTGATTCATGAATCTTTTTTGCTGTCATATATGTCTTTTCATCATTCTTGTATTGGTTATGTATATGCTAATGATGGTTAATATGTCTTTTGCGACAATGCTGCATGATGTGTAATAAAGGGTGAAATGCTGCTATTAGATTTTTCTGCTGATATAGCCAGAGGATTTCAACAGGAAATGAGGTTTCATCTTCCCTACTCCATGTCTTTATAGATTATAGGATAAGAACTTTAAATCTTGTTATAGACATCAATCACATTTTGTAATTTGTGAATTTCTCAATCTAAATGATTGTACACGTGTAGAGAGGCAGTGATTTTGGACATGAAAGAGAGTACATACTTGAGAGTTTAGTGATAGTAGGAAGATGCAGGGTGATGAGCAAAGTATGTGAGTGATACATATCACAATGTTGGGATTATGGGGCCCTTTTCACCTTTTTTAGCAGTTAAGGTATTGGTGCATGCAACATTGCTTCTAGTCTTTTGTTTCATTAGCGGGATGGATTAAATTAATTGACATTGTTAGATGTTATCGACATTCTTGCTTTGTCAATGCGATCAATAGAAGCAAGCCACGTTCTGCTTTCAGAATATAGCATTTGTCCTATGTTATTTGACGGTCACTACTATGCATACATAAGAGGCCAATAAGGAGATGTGTGAACCAATCTATCCTAGAAGTTCCATTCTTTTTTCTTTTTCGAATTTCTGATAGTGTGGATCACTGGCTAATCAGAATTCTGAAATGGTCTGCCTCTGGTGAGTCGCACCCTTACTCTGTCGCTCAATTGTTGTGCCATATCTGTTCATTCGACTCTTGTTATGTTCTAATAGTGCCTGGGAAGATTTCTATTGCTAGTGCACTCCAAATGTTGTATTGCAATTCTGGAGTAGTTAGAGCCCTGTGTTCGGCCCCCATGTTTGGGCACTAACACTTCATGTCCAGTTTCCTTATTTTGTTGGTGGTGCATGATCATAACTCATTTAGGGGTAGAAGGGAGGGAGCAGGGAGAGAGTAGCAGAGGCTGGCAACATGACCTTACTGGTTTAGTACAAGTGCGTGGACACTTGTTAAATCTCCGCTACCAAAATCAATGTATGATCATCAAGAATTTGCACTATCAATATAGCTATTAAGGTTAAGGTTTGATGTATAGGTTCAGGTTTGGCTGGAAAGAGTGTTGAGAAAAGTAAAAGATGGTTTAGGAGGCTTTTCAGGGGCTGGTTTTTGTGCTATTCAATGGTGTAAACTGTTAATGGATCTTTGGTCTTCTTGATTTCTTGGTTGAGCAGAAGATGGTTTAGAGGGCTATTCAGGAGCTGATTTTTGTGTTTCTGTTAATGGGATCTTTGGTCGTCTCGACGCTTTGTTCTCTGTGATTTTATTGGTTGCTAAAGCTGAATTTTGATGGAAAAAAAAAATCTAGAGGTTTGCATAATACCCTTTAGTTCCTGAAGCTTAAGAAAATGTTAGATAAACTAACCAAAAATAAAAATAAAAATAAAATTTGACTTCTAACAAAAAATCATCCCAGGAGATCCTGACTTGAAATTCAATTACTCTCCCCCCCCCCCATGCTCTTCCAGGTTAGAGTGAGTTTTGCAAAAGTTTATTAATCAGCTTTAATGCTGAAATCCTTATGCTTAGATAAGGTATCAATTTGCTGTTCAACTAGGGTTACACCAAAGTGGAGATTGAAGGAGATTGTCAAGGAGCAATGACTCTTACCCCAAATGACAGTATTTCGGTCACAGTTTTCGAAGATGTTCGGTGAATGTTTCACGATTACTAGGATAATTTTGTTTTGAAGTGGGCTCCCCGAATGTGTAATCAAGGTGACAAACGAATGGGATGTGTGGCCTCATTGGTTACATGATCCACCTTTCTTTGGTTTTGCAATAATATCTGGTTTGTTTGCTTGTGCTAAAAAAGAAAAAAAATAAAAAAATTCTGAGCGCGATATGTCGAAACCTTAGGAAAATTAAATTATCTTTTTAATTTGACACATGCTACTATCCGGAATACTTGTGTTGACAGGTTGTTGGGATCTGCTGCGAACCATTGTGTGAGCATAGCTCAAGTTGTAATTGATCCACTTCAAGCCTGCCTGGCAGCCAACCTTATTGCAGTATTATTATATATCAGCCCGGTTCACGCAATCAATCGGTGATGGGAAACATAACAAGTGCGTGTCAACCATCTACTCAATTTTGTGCATCCATTGACGAAAAGTGCAGGTATATATATATATATATATATATTCCTTCTCCTCTCCTTTTTATATTACTAGTTTGTTCCTTTGCATTAGACTTGTTACTAGTTCTAGTTGAGTCTATTAAAATAAAATACATAAATGAATAAAAATAAAAATTCATAGATCTCTAGGAACTGGAAATGGTTTAGAGTCTAGTAGTTTGGATTCGAAAAACCCAAATTTTAGATTTAGTAGTTAGATAAAAATAAATGATAATTGTTCTTGTATTTTATGTGCTTGTCCTTGAATTCCGTGGAGCAGCGGTTACCGGTGATTAATTTATATGACAATTGTTGGAGGAAAAATGCTCCTGACATAGCACTCACCGGGCATTAGTTCAGTTGGTATGATCTTTCCTTTTTTTAAAAAGAGGTTGAGAATTCGAATCCCGAACGGACGAGTTTGTTTAGCTTCCAATAAAAAGAAATGCTTCTTGCCGGAGTAATCCACAGCTTGCTATGTCTTTGTCAATCCCCTTCTGTAGTTGAGTCTTTGAGATTGTAATTAGGATAGTATGTTTGTCTACTGTCTTAATTTGTAGTAGTATTGGCTGCATATGCTTAGTGATTAATTACTACCTATTATCTATCTCATCCTAATTTATATTTTTTACTTATTAATGGTAATTCGTATGCCATATGCATCTTTATTTTCTCAAGTCTATATATCTTCTTCTACTGGTTGTTTGTATGTCTTATCAATCTTACTAATTAACCCATCATTACTTTTAATCCTTGTATTCTTGCACAATGATTTGGAATTCGTGTTCAAACTTAATTTCTATTTTTTTATATTATAAAAATACTTCTTATTTGATTTATTTTATTTTTTATGTAGAGCTGCCAAAAATGCTGTCTCTACATGGCAAGAATGTGAAAATTTTGCCATTTCAAATTATTTAAGGAGGGAGGAATGAAGAGTTGTTAGATAAAAGGATAACAAAATATAAATGGCATAGTGAAGGAGGGTGTTTTAAAATTTATAGAAATATAAATAAAATTTTATAAAAAAGATAATTACATCTGAATAGGATTCTAAGCTTTATTTATTTATTATTTATTGAGTAAACAAGTCTCAGACGCATAGCTTTGCCTCACTAGGGTCTCAATGATATGATGATACAAAAACATTATCTTCAGCTTACTCTCGATGTTTAGCATGGTCTCACTACTCCCTTGTACCAATACAGTAGTGTATATATTATATTATATACATATATTTTTGTATGTATATTCAGTTATCTCCCATGAGACGAAAGCTTAGATTAATCTCAACATATTTGGCAAGGTAGGTAGGGTTAGTTGTTTTCTAAAGGTCAATAGTACACCTACTAAAACATCATGACAAGGTTAGCTTGTACATTGGGATTTCTTATGGGCATTTTGTCTCCTAAACTAGAATAGGAAACTTTACATCATTTTCTGTATTAGAATGTTATATAACTTTTTTCACTTTATTTATCACACACACATCAAAGAAATATATATATATATATATATATATATATATATATATATATATATAAATACACACACATATATATAGATCTATAGAGTAACGATCTCTTGCTCTTGTTGAGGTGTGCGAGACTCAATGGTGTTAAGTTTTATAACGTAAGATGTCAATTCTAACAGTTGGATGACACTATTTTTGAATGCATAAATCAACTAAAACTCTTTAAAACAATGTAAAAATTATTTCAACTTTAATCAAACAAGTCTTGACCCAACCTAAAAGGGAGACCATGAGATAATAAGTTGAATTTTTCTCTAACTTTCTTATCAAAAGTAAATAACATCATTACGTGGGAAAATATATTAATTATATTATAATAATTTATTTATTTATTTTTGTGATAATTTACATACAAACTTTATCACCACAAGTTCTTTAACACTAAACCTTTCATTTTAAAATAAGATGACATTACTTGTAACAATTTACTAGATACAATTATAACGACAATAGACGCAAGAGAGAGGAGGGATAGGGATTTGTAAATCTCTTACTTTTGCATCAAATATTTTGCGTCTATCAAAGAGTAACATATAGTCTTACCTAATGATTAACAAATAGTAGTGACTTTCTATAAAAAAAGGTAAATGAAACTATCAATTATTTAATCAAAAACAACTATTGATGAATCGAAATGTTCAATTTTTGTGGGGTTAATTTAATTAATTGGATTCAGATTCCTAACCAAAGACATTGGAAATAGATCTAGGGCTTTTTGTCTTTGGTTTCATGTTTGTCCACGTTAGAGATGTTTGACATGTTCTTGTCTTCTATTTAAAGTCAAACTGATTTCTATTTCAACCAGATGGGTGCTTTTCACATGTCCATTTCGTGTCACAAATCCTCCACATAACTACAACTAACTTTTTTTAAATTCATCCACTCTAGTCTTTTTATCATATTATGTTCCTCTCTACGGACCCTCCAGTACACTGGAACTGGATTTTTAGGTCGACTACACTGATCACGTGATAGATACCTTATACATTACCTCTATATTGAAAAAGTTGACAACATATAAAATTAGAACAAAAATGCAACAGGAGCTAGGTGAACAAAAAAGATTAGGGTTTATAATAATATTTCTTTATATGAAAATATACACTCTGAACATAATAATATGCGGTGTACTTTGTATATACAATGGCGACAGCAATTGATATACACAATATATAGCTGTTGAAATCTCATACACATAAATTAAAACCAACTCCAGAACGAAAAATTATTTGTTTACAATAAACGTGTTTACATAATCTGATTCGAACTGAAAGGAGCTTCTAGGTCGAGATTGGCCATGGAGGCAGTTGAAGATGCTTGGCTGCAAAGGATTAAAAAATAATTAATAAATAAATAAATATTATAAAATTAACAATACAGAAACAAAAAAGGGTAAAAAAAGACTTTGACGGAGGAATTAATATACTTACTCTATAATATCTCTCCAGTAAGAATGAGCTGCTTCGTCATCCAAAAGTTCTTCCCAAGCTTCAAAGTTGGTCCAAGTAGATGATGAGGGGTTAGAGAGATGATGAGTTGGGTGGTTGATTTTGTTCTTATTTTGCATTTGATTGACAGTGTAAGACTCGGGGGAGGCCGAAACCAAAGCAGGAAAGGAAGAATTTCCTATCGGAGTAGTGACATTACTATCATTATTGTTATGATCACCTGTAAAAACTTCAAATTTGGAGGTAACCATGGGTTGTTGATATTGATCAAGGAGTAGTTCTAAGTTTGGGAAATTCGTTGGCCCCGATTGAAGAATTTGAGCTGAATAATTAGGATCAAAACTGACAGGACCAGTAGGTCCTTGATCAAGTTGAGAATTCATGAGTGGCCTAAGGTACTCATAAAGCTGTTGATGACCTATAAGGTCATTTAGAGCTTGAATGGTTGGAGGTGGACTAGTACTACTAGTACTGGCTAGGGCTTGAAGTATGTTGTGTAACAATTGGGTTCTTGCTAGCTGTGTGGTATCATGATGATGATGATCAGCTGGTGATTGTAGCATGAAGAGAGCATTGAGCTGGTCCCACAGATTGGTCAATGGGCTAGTAGTAGTGTTCATGAAGTTTGCCATTGCTAGTAGCTGAGGAAGACTGATCATGAGATCAGTTCTTGGTCTGTGAGTAATTGGATCAATACCCATGTTCAGTAGCTTTTTCTTTAGATGGGTATTCCAAAAATTCTTGATTTCATTATCGGTCCTTCCTGGAAGATAGCTTGCTATCCTAGACCACCTGCATATATATATATATATATATATATATATATATATATCCGACCCATTATATATCTGTCTATATATATATAGAAGTTTAAAGGTGTTGGTCTATAAATTAATTACTTACTTATTTCCATGGAGTTGATGGAGGTTGATGATGAGTTGCTCTTCTTCGTCGGCGAAGTTTCCTCTCTTTATATCGGGACGGAGATAGTTAGTCCACCTCAGGCGACAACTCTTTCCACACCTCTTGAGTCCTGCAAGCTTTGGAAGTGAACTCCAATTTCCATGACCATTTTTCTCTATGAAATCGATGAGTTTCCGATCCTCGTCTGGATCCCACGGACCCTTCTTGAGGCCATTCTCATTGGAGGAAGGTGATCTCCCCATACTCCCTGTATCTACTGCATGCATGAGGAAATTAATTAGCTGGTATTCATAAAATAGAGTGCTCCTATATATATATGTAAACAAACACAAACAGATGGATCAATAAAGAGAAGAATAATACAAACCTTAGATTTAGTTTGTGGCCTGAGCACAAAGAGATACCATATCTATATATAGGATATCTAAGAGTAATCAAGTGTGTGCTGGTTTTATAGTAATGTATGGATGTTTAAAATAACATAGCGGAAAGTGTAATATAGAAGCATTTCCCGAATGAGATGTCATTTGATACTAGTAATATATTGATTTGTTATTATATATTAATTTTTTATTTTGATTTAAAATTCCGAATATACCCTTGTATTGCATTTATGCATGGTAACTTAAGGCTATGATAAACTACTTTGAATTGAATCATTAATTCTCGACTCTTGCCTCCATAGTGAGGATTGTAGCTTTAACTAATTACCAAGAAGAAGAGAAAGGAACTAACTTTTATATAATAGAGTAATTAATTTATAAATTAATTACCTTTACCGGGGAAAAAAACAGACGAGTCCTGAGATTGGAGGACATAATTTAAGACATGAAACACAAAAGGAGACTTGATGAGATATTTAGCTATGTTTAGCAGTATCGAATTGACAATTAAAAGAAATTTAATTCAAAATTTATATTAAATTTTCTTCATACTTCTAAACACAACTAGGCTAAATTATATACCGGATCGGAAAACAAAAATGGGCTAGAGATTGAGGGGGTAATTTTAAAAACCATAAACGCAAGAAGTGTAAGCAATTATTTTCAACGTTTAGTTAATATAACCTTTTCTTGTTGCGCAAGGAATTAATGGTTGCCACCTTCAGTAAATATTACGCTAGATAGAAGACATAGTGGGGAAGTTGCAACCATATACAGTTAGGTCTACACTTGGCAGAGAGTGAGAGGTCAAATAGATAAATTTTCTTGGAGCAACACTGAGAAGAAACTTCCTTAATTAATTTGTCCTTATAAATTGTGTTTTGACTGTGGTACTAAGCTTCTCAACGCACGCAAAACTATTCAGTCTTTGTGTGGGACCTGCCATGCAAACAATCGCCTTCTAACGACTTTTGAGAGTTTTCTATTTGGATGTTTCGGTTTTTATAGCTCGTACATATAATATGGGTAACTAGGTAAACGAGTATGCATATAATACTCAAGTGGCAATTTTTTTGTTCTTCTGAACGGTAATTCACTAGAAAATTCTTTTAATACTTTAATTTAAAAGTTGGGAAGATATGATACAAACTTTGATCCCGTCTGAATTGTGAAATATAAAATGTAATTGACATATTTCGGTGATCAAAACAAATTTTAAATTGAGTTGTAATTTTTTATTTATATTTGAGTCTCGATTTTGGAAGCTGAAAACTCAAGTGAAGCTACTCACAACAATGTTGGAGTTGGATTAGAGTTCTTGGGATTTTACGTAAGCCTAACCGGCTGGTTGCACTTCATAATAGAACTAGTACTCAGGAAAAGTCCAACCGGTTGGGTTTTCATGTAGAACTGATTACACTACTCTGAACAAAAAAGGAAAGTTTTGTTTTTATCAATTTCTAATATCATTTTGAATGAATTAGAGCGGTGTTTTAGCACGAAATTGGACAAGTTTTCTAACCCTACTGGGTCTCTCTAATTCTCTATATCATATTTACACACAATTTATCATGATTTTTTCATTGAAGATTTCAAAACCTTAAAAAAGACTCTTTGAGATTTTGAGAGTTTGTTATTGTTCTATTTTTTAGAGTGCGCAACTATACACAGTGATTTAGGTTGTTGTTCATTGTCCAATTGGAGTTTGCGTATTTGAATATTCCATTGTTATCGGTCGATAAGCGGAACTTCTTTTCAACTTCAAAAATTTCGATTTTGACAAAAAGAAAAAAAAACAGAAAAGAAAGAGGAGAAGATCACACTTTGAAGGAATCAAGACATTCGTGGAATGTTGGTTGATTTACAAGCGATCCTTTTATAGAGATCAAGAGTAAGTATGAGGTCAAGAGCTGTTGAACGGGGGAGTAGCAAAGTTAGGGACACTTATCAATTGGTTTTTGGTAAAATGATAGAGTGTGAGTCTTAATCGAAGTCAATTGTACTTTACTTCATACATAATGAATCTTTTCGTTTGAGACCGTGTAACAGTCTTCGAAATTTTTTAAATTGTTGGATTTTCACCGATTAGGGTTCCTTACTAATCTGGTGTCTCTCTAAACTTATTTTTTACTTTACTTGCACTTTAAATTATCGATTTGTGGGTGTTTGATTTACTTTTATTTTGATAAATTTAAATTAATAAAAATTTGGATAAAAGAGCAAGTTGAACCTATTCACCTCCTCATAAGTTAGTTATGATGTGGTGTTGTTGATGTAGATAACAACAAATGAAATAGAGAATCAACACATTATTGACATTAACAATTTAATTTATGAGTTAATCCATTTAATCGAGTTTAAAATAATGTGTCAATTTTCGAAATAAATTATTGATCCAACACGCTACAACACCGCCGCTCTCTTCACACGAAAAATCAAGCTCATAAAATATGTGGGGTCTAACTCTGAATATGGTTTTTGGTTCCAACGTTAATAAGATCCCACATATCAGAAACCACATGTAGTGTTTGTGGTACATCAAAATTTAAAAGCCCCCAACCCAAAAAAAAAAAAAAAAAAGGGTTATAAACCTTCTAATTAATGGCTTAATTCTATTTTCATCAATTAATGTGAAAATTTTCAAGGCCCAAAAATGTTTTAACACGCAAGAATGTCATCATCATAACACTATCATCACCTTATACTATCTGGATTATAAATTATTGTTTATTTTAAAAAATAAAAAATAATAATGAGAATTACCTTCCAAATAATAATAATAATAATGAGTCATAATTTGGAGATGGACTTGAGACAAGTGGTGTTAAAGGATGCTTTGTCCCATAGTTGTGGTAGACCGTGGAGGTATACAATGATGTGAGATGAAGTTTAGGTAGGTGTGTTTATAATTAGTTGCTATCTAGTTATCTAATCAGAAAATTAAATCAATACATGAAATGCATTCCAAATCATTTTTTTCAATTTTAGTTGGTGGCTGCAGATTGCGTATGCGTTGCACCTAGTTGATAATCATAAATTAAAACACAAACAAATTTGATATATACATATCTGTGTCGTGTGTGTATATATGTACATATATATCAAAAAACTTTATATATATATATAAGATTGTATGCAATTAGATTTTTAAGATGAAGAAGAATTAAGGACGTTATCTTCTCCTACCAAAAACTGATGAACTCGTTTCATTTATATGCATATTTGAGTTTATATCATTTTTTATTTTTTATTCCATTTTATAAATAACAAAAGAAAGGACAAATTAGTCATTTCTTAGCACTATTAACTGCATGGACCTTTGGAAAAGAAAAAAAAAAAAAAAACACAGCATGGACTGATGTGCATTGGGTATTTGCGAATTTTTTCTTTCCTTTTTTCCTTATCCAAATATTCATTAAATTAAAAGTTTACTTTAGGAACTGTGACTCACACCAAAATAGATATTTAAAATAAGATAGAGGCAGTATAATAATATACACACTCTTTTATAAACGAACAAGAAGAGCTGTTTCTAACTCCTTTTAGCGTCACCATTGCATAGTCATATCTCATATCAATGGGAAAAAAAGTTTATAACACTTTCACGTGTGAATGTCTACCAATTATATAAATATATTTTTAAAATTATGAGATTTAGATTGATAATATTTACACAAAATGAACGTTTATCTTTCTCATACTTGTTACTTCTTTTACTTCAATATTATTTGAGTTGTTCAACCCTTTCACCCTAATGCAAAGGAAAAAGTTTGACAATTACATGGGTAACAAAGTAATTACGTGAATAAAAGCTTTTTTATAATCTGATCACCTTCATCATTATTGCTCACACACACAGAGAGATTGGAATGTTCCCAAGTATTAATATATGTATCACCATTGTTACCTACTCTCTGATGCCATATGTGCATCACCATTGTATTTGGTCGTTAATTTGCTTGATCAAGATTCTAATTTATTACATATTCGATAAAAACGTTTTTAATGTTACCAAAGAGAGATGCTGAATTGAATGAATGTTCAAAGGATCATAATATCATATTCAAATATTGGAGATCTAGAATTTCAATCAACAATGTAAGCATCAAACTGTGAATATATATATATATATATATATATATATATATATATGTATGTATATGTATATGTGTGTTGTCAATACAGTTTACCATCCATGGTAATAATGCGTTGGACTATAAATTAATTACCAGTAATTAGCAGCACCCAAATATTAAACTGAATTAAGAAGTTTGCAGATCCAAATTGGAATTGACAGTCAAATTAAGGGGCCACACCCAAAATTGAATGTTGCATGGACGGCGTCAACCCAAAACTCTTATAGCTCGTCATCGTATAACTGCTTTGTAATTTTGTATTTGATTGGAATTTGTCAAAGTAAAAATTCTAATATTCACTTCATAAGAAAGTTTTCAGTACAACGGTGACGTCAACTTACGTGATAATTTCATACCTAGTTGGAATAATGAAAAAAAGAAAAAAAAAAAAAAAGGGAAAAGAAAAGAAATTCTGTTTATCCATTATATTTTGAAATTTTTTTTTTTCGGATAAGTTTGAATATTTTTTTTTGGTAAGTCAGTATATTTTTGTTCTGCCTACAATACATCCAATTGAATGGCCTAGTATATATTAACTAATTAATAGTTGACACCATGTTATTTGCATCATCGTTATATTAAAGTTTTTTATTCATAATTAAAGTGCTCGTTCATTACTTCTAAGCACATTATATTATTGTCATTCCACTAGTATTTCGATTTACCGTTCTAAATTAACAAAAGTAAATCTAAATAGATTAGGTATGAACTATGATCCAGTGA